TATCGACTGCATTTAACTGGCTGATGCAAATGGTTGGGCAGGGAGAGGTGTAGGAGCGACATTCTGAAGAAGAGGTGGTCTACGTGAAGATTGTACGTTTTGGTTAGCTGTTTACTAAACTACTTAGGCACCTCAGTCTTTGCATTTTACACTTTTATTCTTTTGTATGATATTTGAGCCGCTCTGTCAGTCCCCAAACTTTCTCTGGATTGATTGTTTTTTGTTCTGCTTTTGCTTTTTTTGACCAGGGAAGACTGAGGATGCTGCATTTGCTTACATTGTGTAATGTGGTTAACTTAGGGCACGACTTTTATGTACTTTTATGCATGCACTCCTTCGGAAGATTTCGAGTCCTTGATTTTACCAATTACACCAAAATCGTGAGCACATGGGTTATTATCTGATCATATTGAGGACGTTGGGTTAAGTGTCTTCTTGAAGCAGTAGTAAGCCATACCAGTACCGTAGAGCTGAGACTATCAGCGCGGACTTTAGCTCGAGTGCGCAGGTGGAAGTACAAACCGCGGATTTGAAGTGCACTTTGAGACAGTTATCAAACGGTCCTTGTGCTTTCATTTGATCAATTTTTTAATTATTCTCAGTTTATGAGACTGCGAAAGTATGCGTCCTTTGTTATGCTGAAAGATGTTGAAATGGTTTAATTACAAGCTCAGGAAAGTTGTGACTGGAATCACATCTGCAGTCAATAATCGCGGAAACGGAAACAACTAAGTTCAGCACCATAATACAAACCGCACAATACGTAACCAAAAGAATGACCGAAACGAATTATAATGCTTCTCGTCAACGCCGAGTGTCGAATTATATCACGATGAAGCACAAATGAGTGAACATCTCGGGAGCTCACTCGTACGGTATCGACATGTTTACCTTACGGCGAGACTTTCTGCTGTGCTTCGCACCTCCAGCCGCTGAGTCTTCAAAAATAGCCACTTTGAGTCGAAAAACCTCACTCCATCGACCTATGGTGCCATTCACCCCTCCATCAAAACCCTTTAACTGATGATTGCGACCACCCGATTCTGCTTCACTAGCAAGCCAAGGAGAACGGAACTGTATCGAAAACGACGTAGACTATCACGGACTAACTAACTAACTCACGGACTATCACTGACACGGCAAAGCCACCAAGAAAAAAGGTTACCAAAGGCAGGCGCATCACAATATCCAAACATGGTCTCTATTCCAATGTCACCCAACTTCGAAGCTATATGCCCCCTCCAGCATGGGTAAGTCACAAATGGAGAACATAGCAAAACATAGGACAAGATACGTCCAAATATAAAGGACGAGGTAAAGGGGAGGATTAGATAGTCCTACTCACCAGGGGGTGCAACCACAGACCAAAGTCGCAGGAAAAATGCATCAACACACATACAAAAAGGACATTAGTGAGTGGAAACGAGTAAGAATACGACAAAGAGAACAAAAGAAGCTAGCACATCTACCAACGTAAAAGATGATAGGAAGAAGGGGCGTTGGGTAGATCTTGTGTACACGGAGTAGCAGACGCTAGTAGTCATCGAGATCAAAGTCTTCGTCAAAGTCCAGATCGCCACCAGCTAAATGTTGAAAGTCAACTTGGTAGCGAAGAATGCCTGTAGAAAAAAGGGACTTCTTTACTGTAGAAAATCAAAATTAATCACTGGCAATTAACACTGTGCTAGATAAAGCGTACGTACATATTATAATACTTACTTGAACTCAATGTCAAAACCCACAAAAAGGCGTAGACTGCAGATGGAGGAAATGCAGTATTTAAAGCTATAAGTCGCTGGCACGGGTTGCGATTATCCTTAACCGAAATTAGACAACAAAGAATCTCGAATCGATCGTCCTAGCGCTCATGGATCGAAAAACTAACGCATCCCCTCGCAGCATTACCCATACTTATGTGGCTCGGTTAACAGAGGATAATTATCGGGTTCAATAATGGTCACAACATTACAACATATGGCTTATTGTTAAATTACTAATCACAAATCGACTATGATGAAACAGAATTGCGTTGGGGTTACTAACAAAATAATAAGAACCGAAAGGGAAGTATCAGACAAACCATCAAGTTTGCATGAAGCTGGTGGTAAGTGACATCTATTAAAGGGCTTATTTGCCATGGTGAAGAAGTAAATACGAACACACACCTCCGATACCACCAAATCCGCGGACAAACTGCGAACCTTCCTGTGACTTGTCAGTGACTATTTCGAGGATAGCACCGAATGATCGATAGCTAAGCGCGAGCCAGTCTAGTAGAAGCTGACTCTCCTCGATCTCCATCTCAGTTTGCGTTTCTGGATCGACAAAGTGACTGCGGTCTCGCTCCTGTTCCGGTCTCAGATGAATGACGCGCTTCTCTAGAGAATGAACAGAATAAGACTACTTACACAACAGTTTAATGAGGGCAGTGAATTTGCCATTCTGTATTCTGTAGGATAATTTAGGGCGAGATAATTAAAGCTACATAAAAGTTGTAATTCTCTGCAAACCAGTAGTGAAATCCAGCAACTTTTCAAACTTCAGAAAACATACATTTAACAGACACGAGACCTTATGCACACAGTGCACGGTTGGCGCGTCAAAACAAACTGATCCTCAAATTAACCGCTTAGAGGATGTACAGACAAATTTTACAAGAATGTGGTATTAAATTAAACCGTACATAGCCGTATTACGATGAGTTTCTCATCAAAAGTGACAACAATGTCAGGTCCGAACATTGGAAGCAAGGAGCACATCAACGCACTAAATACATCATATAATGTGCCGGGAAACAACCAATGCATGAATGAAGAAACGTATGCGACTTTTCAATATACCAAAAACTAGTCATTACTTTATCAAACGCATAAGCAGAACACACTCCCATGAAAGGGCCTCAAAATTGCATTCGAATAACTAAATTTACCGTCACTTGATGAAGAACGAAGCACGTAGCGAGTGACCGCTAGGTTTTCCCACACAATTAGGGAATCCACAGCACCCATTTCAAGTGCCTTTAGGGTATCATCCACGCCAAAACAATACTTCCCTGTATCCTATAAAAGGCACCGCATTAAATATTGTACGAAGAATTACTTGCGAGATTTCATCAAAATAACGCTGAATCAACTTCTTCTCCTGGATAAACTTAACGCCCGCCAAAGTATCACTGGCAAGTTCAATAGCTTGATTAAATCCACTTTCACCCCCATATGATATATCAACTATCTTCAGCACTTTGGCTTGCAATCTCTAAACCAAGGTAACAAAAGCGAGACAACCCTTACGGGATCAAACATTCCCGACTGACTAAGGTCCGTTTTAAAGTCGGCCAAACCAGCGAGAATAAGACCCTCCACATTGACCTTATCGTTCGTAATAAACAACTGTACCGCAGTCTCTGCAACTTTTCTCACGTAATTGTGACGTTTTTCAACACGTAATCGGGCAAAACGAAGTGCCGACTGACCACCTCTTCCATGTTTTTTCGGTAGTTCTACATTGAACTTGTGCAACACTTCCCTAGTGTTTCCAGACAGAGTACCAAAGAGGGTGCCGCTACCATCCATAATGATAAAACCAAATTTGCTGTCATCCGTCAGCAATGCATTAAGGGCCTATTTCGTGGGAAAATGTACCAAACGTCCCTTACTTCGGTATGAAACTTGTTGTCACAGAGATAAAGTGAAGTATTTACCGGCCGAAAAGGCTCAAAGTCAATGTTTACTTTCTTTTCCTTTCCATCTTCAGTAATAATAGTGCCGCAATATACAACGAGTCCATTTGGTGGTACTACATCGGTTAAAAGGTAAATAATTACCCTTATTATACAGCTTTAAACGCTGCTGAACGGAGGTGATGGCGCTTAACACAGAAAGACGGTTGACTCTACTTTTGATATTCGAGGCGGTACCATATTCCTCAGCCAACATTTTCGCTATCCGAGTAACCTGATCCTTGGGCGGAATGATGAGAGATATCATACTAGTTCCATTACTGATACGAATATGAAAAAAAGAAATCGGCAATACCCGCGAGCAGCTTCAAGACTTTTTATAAGTTTCTTTATTCTCCACATTTCTACGTTTTTATCAGCCTGAGTCGCTGCAGTTTCACCATTTGTTGAAGTCATAATTTATGTAAAAGCACCGGAACGACAAACAACCACGATGCCCTAGCTCAGAACTACCGCCAACGTTTATTTGAATTGTTACCTAAACCAAAGTGCCACAAGATAAATTTTGAATTAGATGTATTGTAACCTTGTTACGAAAATTTTACGTGTTTACTGTTGAGCAATGTACGAAGAACTCCAGTCGCCTTTGGCCTCTACATCTTTTAAAACCCATTAAATATAATGAAATGATCATTTAAACTGTCACACACTTGACCTCATCTCTACCATTTATAAAATCTCGTATTTCTTGCTGGATTCAAGCAGTCTCAACCCTACTGCTTAAAACTGGCACACCCCCGCCCGTATAACGCATGAGCATCACAAGGCGCACCCCCCCCCCCCCACCGGGCAAAACCGGCGTCCACGGCGAGACTCCGCGCCGCAACCCTTGAGAAGAAGAGAGCCACCCAGAGTTACGACCCCAATGTGCTAACCGAAAAACAACTTGATAAGCTATACAAAGGCATAAGCCCGTCACCAGAATTAAGAAATAGTGAGCATCAAAAGTCTCGCGTGATGGATACGAAGGAAATCAGGATAAGGGGCCTGAATTATCTCATAAAAAGAGACAGACTGGTTACAAGACACCAAGGTCTTGAAGCTCAGCTTGGAAGCAAGTTAAAGGAAATCAGCGATGATGGATGCGAATGGTGATGCCCTTACTGACCACCTTCCATACGATCAAGCACACGCCCACCTTGCTCCTTCCATTCCGCCTTAGTAACCCAACAGTTGGCCGATCCTCCCTGCATCAAACGAGCCAAAATTGAACCACCAAGAAACACCATGTGCTTGCGTTGTGGTGGATCCTCAATTCGGATTCTCAGTTTCTGAAATAGACACAAAGATCACAACATTACTAAAGCCTAAATCATTTCTTTTATATTTCTCTTATCTTTATCCATCAAACACAAATTTTTCAATTTGTTTCATACCTAAGAACACAATTTTAATTAGATTTAAATCAACAATGATGTGAGTCAATTTGTGAACTATCGAAATTCTAGAATGTGAAACATTTGAAGCGAGCTATTTGTGACAAAAGCAAACAATCTAAATAGTCTCACAACCAACTGCCAAGGAAATGTCCTTTCATTAAATTATGCGGAAAAGAACATGCCGAACTATAGATTAGGACAAATTTTAAACCTTCAGTGAGAGAGTAGCTGAAACAATTAACGGTTTCATAAGCAATACTCAAATAATTCCAGCATCACACATTAACTTAAATTGGAAACTTCAGAGACCAAAGAAATATCTCGGATTAATGAATATTCCTTTGATGAATCAAATTACTTTAGACTACGAAAGTCATAAAGAAATTAAGACCTACAGAAAGTCCGCTGGCATCGCCCTTCAGAACGTTTTGAACGTAAAGTTGTTTGAGCTCCCGTTCAAGTCGACTAGGCAATCCAGGATACATGGTGCTACCACCACTCAGAACAATGTACTTGTAGAATTCGGGCCTCGTATCGATTGGTGCTGCCTGGATTGTATTGAACAGCATTTCGGAGATACCGACGCTTTCCTTATCAATCAAATTGGGCTGAAATAGGGCCTCTGGCGCCCCAAACTGTTCACCACCAACTTTAATCACCCGTCCATCAGGAAGCTGGAAAATAGAAAAAGGTAATGAATAACACAGACGGAACCCATGTACGTAAATTAAGTGTTTTAAGCACGAATTGACGATCAACATAAGTTTAGGTATAGAAACGACAAACAGCGTTGCACAAAATCGTAAAGTGCGATCCGCTGATCAAAAAACGAACCGCAATACTAACCACCGAAGTCAAGAATGTTAATAGACTGAACGCACCGTGTACTTTTTAACCAACACCGTTGTTTCTAAAGCAAGGTTCTGTTCTTGTTGTACATCGTATGCCACGTAGCAAAGCTTTTCCTTCATCTGGCGAATAGTTTCGAAATCGGCAGTTTGATTGAATGCATAGCCACGGAGCAAGAGCAACTACAAGGCAATCACAAAAGTTGTGACATTATGGTTAATAAAAGCATTACTTCGATACCCTACACAATGTTTACCTTTATTAAATAACGAGTAATATCACGGCCGGCAACGTCAAGACGTTTTGTTATGTGTGTGAGTGTGTGCCCTGAGTAAACGGGGCAGATATGGGTAACACCGTCACCGGAATCCACGACGACGCCAGTCATCAGGCCTACAAGGTGAATTCACTTATTCGTAGAATACAGGCATTTAGCATTCCAATGCACTAATTTCTGCCCTTCAAGGTACCTTGGGCATAAAGCGTCAAAGTGGCTTGGATGGCAACATAAACTGCATTGAAACCATAGTGTTCAAACATTAATTCCATCATCCTCAACCGATTCTGCTTTGGATTGTACGGGGGCTCAGTTAAAAGAATCTTCGCATGTTCTGTGTCGATGTTTAATTTTGATGGGCCAAACGTATAATCATATAGATGCTTCATATCGTCCCAGTTCTTAACAATACCATTCTCCATTGGGTAAGAAAGCTCGAGCATGGATCTCAATTCACTAGCCTCGTCGCCAATCATAAGATCTTTCACCTCCACATTCCCAACCTTAACAGATGCACGAAGTATAGGACGACCGAGAACGGATGGAAATATACACTCAGGAAAGTTAGACCCTGCGAATCCGCATTTCACAAACTAGCAAAACATATGGTTATTGTTAAAACATACTCCAGTTCCATTATCACAAACGATAACATGGTCACCGTCCCCGTCAACCGACATTTCCCCACAAAAACCGCAGCTTCCGCTCTTGCATTCAACAAAGCCGCCTAAAGCCAACAATAGTTTTGTTTTTGCAGCGTGTAGCAACTGACAACATTTTATAAAAAAGTCAAAATAGCCACCACTCCACATCAATCGGTGCAAAAATTTACCCCATTCCATCCGCTTTGAAAAAAAAGGACATATGTAAAATGTGCATTCCAAGCACATATTAGTTATCTACAAAAAGTACATATATTTTGCCCAGGAACTTTTGAAATGGTTTAAGGACAAAAATGCTCAAGAAAGATTCAGTAGGTCAAACCTTTTATCAAGAGTTAAACAACCAACCTATTACGCAGGCCCTCCTCTTTGGAGCGTCGTCCTTTGCGGTCTCCTTAGATAACTTTTGTGTCAGCCATTACATCACAACCAGCAGTGTAAGAAAAAGTTTATAGGTTAGCTGTGCTAGTTGTCGAATTTCCGCCCAGTTGAGGCGGTGTTTGGGCGCAATGTCACTTTTACCTCTTGCCAACTCTACAGAATCCGTGTTTCCGCCCTGTATAGGAGCTGTATTGAGGATCTATGAATGAGTTGTCCTAATGCCAGTTAGGAGCATATGGCAATTTTGCCGTCAGACACATTCTCAATCACGATGGATGAAAATATTTGCGCAGAATATGAATTTTTGCTCTACCAAATTGGATTTGAGAAACTAACATAAACCGCTAACTGGGTTTTTAAATAAGATGCAATTGCGGAGCCCTAAAAGAGCCTAATGGAAATGTTAGGCCCAAATAGCAAATAATATATTGTACGTGTGTCTAAACCATATATTTTTTAAAAAATATATTAAAAATTATAAGACATAGTTTTTATTGATATATTCGCAATAGATTTTAAAGAATAGAAAATGCTATTCACCTAATGCATTTGCTTAAATCAATCAATGTACCTTTTGTAGGTGCCGCTTCACGCTTTTGAATAGTGTTTCGGGATGGCTCTGCGTAAATTTAAGCGTTTAACTAATTATTCCTTTCGATTCTTGAAAAAGTATTTTTGGTTCAGCATTTTTTGCGTCACTTTTTAAGAATTTCTGGGGCACATGGCTTTGACTGTTTTCAAGTGATCATTTTTGATTAGATGAACGACATTCGTATGTCACGCTGGCAACTAATGATGAATATGCCATTGGAGCTTTGGTTTTGGGTTATTCGCTAAGGCGAGCAGGAACAAACAAGGAAATGGCTATTCTTATCACCGAAGGTGTCTCACATGGTTTTAGGTAAGTGATCATTTTGCTCAGTACTCCGTGTTTTCCTGGTAATTCTAATTCATTTCTTGCATATCTTATAATAAGCATGTCAAAAATCTTGATATCTCATTGTTTGTTGGCATTTTAGATATAGTTTTGTGTCAGCAAATGCTGAACCCTGCATATGGTCATGCTGGCATTGACAGTCATTATTTGCTTTTATGTTTAGAGAAATTTTGGAAGGTGTTTATGACAGCGTTATTGTTGTGAAACCTCTTCAAAGCCTTGATGAACATAATCTTAAATTGCTTAGACGACTAAATTTGGGCATAACATACACAAAGCTCTACTGCTGGAAGTTGATTCAGTTCTCAAAATGCGTGTTTCTTGATGCTGACACAATCGTAAGTATGCCTCTTTGGTTGGCTCCATTTTTGCCTTTATTTGTTGGCTGCGTATGAATAGGTACTTAGCAAATCGTTTTACCCATGTTTTGGTGGTGATTGGGAAGTCTTAATGTCTAGAATAGGCCTTTATTGCACTTATGTACTCGATTGTCCATTTCACTTCATTATTGATTAGGTAATCTTTTTTAAAATGCGCGTATTACTTCTAAACGTAAATACTATTAGGTTTTTACGGTTTTGTCGAAGCTGAAAATGTTTTTCTAGTTCAAAATAATACGCTGTACAGTCTGATTTTCATGGCACTGGTTCATTAAATAATTGCTTTTTAACTACAGTAACATTTTCTAGAAATGGTAATATAGAATAATATCCATCACATCTGTGTTATGTGGGGTCGTGTTGGCTTGGGTCAACTCTTTAAATCTGATTTTTGCTTCATCACCGTACAAGCGTTATCGCAAGAAGTGCCTTACTTTCATTAGATCAATCTACTATAATCGTATTTAATATATTTTGAAGATTTTTTTCAATTTGCGACATATCACTCATGAATCTTGGGCAACCATGACGTGTTGTAATAAGGTAGCCTCTTTGGCTGCTTCCATTTCTTCAGTTGGCCTATTTGCAATTTTTCGGGAGCCCGTCTCAATAAGCGTGTTCTTGGATGCAGAATGGTCTATTTTTTCCGAAGGAATTGTTCTTTTCATAATTTTCTTGCTGTGGATGCTCCAGTGTGATTAAAAATATTAGTTTTATTGATCAATTTGCATGGCTTAATGATCTTATTCTGTCTGTCCGCCTTTTTGGAATCCATAAGGGATGGTACAGATGATATTCGAAACAAAGAACAACAATCTTCCGTGCTAAGATGATTTCAACTAGATGCGAAATGGGTTGAGGAGATTTCCTATGTGGAGTAATGATTTTCTACGAACTAAGTCTTTTTTGTGCTATTTAAGGGCGTTAAATTTTAGCGTGCCATTATTGGGAATATTAATCTGAGATTATCTACTTCCATGCGATAAGTATTTAACTATTTTTACATTGGATAATGTCGAATGGTATCTTTTCTCTCATTTATGGAGTAATTTAGCTGTTTTACATCTGTATTTAAACCTTGTATGTTTACAAGACACGCTGATCGGCTTTTGGAGAATGAGCTGTTCTTTAGATAAGCAGAAATAAAAATACTTGTAGAATCGATTTTTTGGTAGGGTTCGCATGCATAACATAAGCAAATTTTTTAATTAGTCTAAATTAAATAGCTGAAAGAAATTTATAGTAGCAGCAGCATGAACTATCAGCTATAAGTGGTTAGTATTTTTGCAATGCTGCTGCTCTACCTTTGGTGCTTATCGGTTTTTCTCTGGAGTGATACATAGTCGTTCGTAATAGGCTGTTAAGTGGCATTGTTTATGATATATAACCAGCCAAATGGTCTAATCACATTGTTATTTCCTGTTTATGTGCTGATGAAGGTTGTTTGTACTTTGTGTACAGTTCTTGACAAGACTAAGGTACTGCGACTCAACCTTGAATAGTACACAAATTATTTCGTTAGAGATTGCTGACTGTCCGCACGCCCATGCTGTGCGAGACGAAGGACCTCCCGGCTTGACTGCGAGCCTCATGTTTTAAAGTGTATAAAAAAGCGCAATTCGGTTTTCCGTATGAACTAATGTCTAATCACGGGTGTTATAATACAAAAAATGCGAAATGTTTGAAGTTTGGAAGTCACATACGTCTCACTGTATTTAGCTACTTTTTTAATCATCGAATTGCGAAATGAATTTGTGGAGAATTCGTACGTGTAGTCAGTCCTATTGACTAACATAATCTGCAGTGGAAAAATAGTTACGCATGTAATCAACTGCCTTCATTTGTGCCAGTGCTCTAAAGTACAGTTGAAACAATAAGCAACCGTTTATCTTGGCTTTCCTTGGATTGAGTGGGGTAAATCTCCTTTTCTCTAAAGCGACAAATCACTACTGCAAATATTTGCAACTCTAAACAGTTTACAATTCTCTAAAGCGATTATTATTTTTACGCATATTTTTCACTAATTGTTTAGATACCAATCTTAATGAGGGAGATGAGCTCTAGTCCTGTCCCCTCTGCGATCAGGGTTCCACCCTATTTTCGTAGATTAAAATCTAATCATAAGTTGAAAAGTGCCTGATTACTTGGTGCTGGTGAAACAAATTCCAGCTGCATAACGCTTACCCATTAAGGAAATCCTTTTATTCAAATGTTGTTAACTACCTAAATTCATTTCAACAATGTTATCCGGGGAAGTATTGGAACAACACTCGGGCCCTTTAACGTTATAATATGGCAGAAATACAGTATCATTGGCTACATGAGCACTACTATTAAACCACCTGCTTTGGCTACTGCTCGGATCGGATGTATTATATCCCTTGTATTGTTTTACTATTTGAGACTCATGTTGTACTTCCACGTAGGTTCTGCAAAATATTGACGAACTCTTTGAGCGCGAGGAACTGAGCGCGACCCCTGACGTCAGCTGGCCGGACATGTTTAACTCGGGGGTCTTTGTCTTTCGTCCTAGTTTAAAAACATTCTCAGATTTGTCCGAACTGGCCAAGACTAGGGGCAGTTTCGATGGTGGTGATCAGGTACGTCCTTTTCCAACAATTCTCTTAGTTATAAAGTGGCTTCGTGACTTGCCGTGCTTAATAGACAAGACGTTTGGCCTCTGATCATGGCATGCGTTAATTCATAAAAGCATTATCTTACACTACCTGATTCGATTAAGTTTTTTTCACTAACTGTTCCCTTTAAATGTAACACAGGGCCGTAACATAATCGTGCTTTTGGAGGCACGCTGCTTTAATGCTTTTAGCCGCCAACTTTTCTTGCAAACTGCCGAAAAATCTATAAGAAATGACTTAGAAGTGGTTATCCCAGTTTACTCAGCATCCTGTTTGTAAAAAGGCATTCTAGGTAATATTATAGTAGTTCACTTATTTCCTAATGTATTATCTTTTCAAATTTTTCTGCTTTGAAAAAAGACAAAATGAGTGGTCGGGTTCACAGGTTCCGGCCACCAATGCAGTGAGAGTGGGATGTGTCATGTGCATGGCGAGGGAGTTATACACATTCAACCCAACTCCGGACTATTTGGACCCCGCTACTGCTTAACAAATAATGAACCTATTAATGCATTAATTGAAACCACCTAAATGGATCGGATTTTGCTTGAGGGACCCAGTTATTTTAGTTGTTACAGGCTTTGTCATCAGAAAAGCTTCTTCCCTATCGTTGTACTTTATTGTTGCACGGAAAGTAGCGCAGGCACGATTGGCCAAACGACGAGTCTGAGGAATGGCTAATGATTGAATTCGTGAGCGCCATTTGCAATTATTTGACGCTTCCGGTGATACGTATTTGTTAATATACTGTGATTTGGCATTCTAAGGTGTTTGATGGATAAAAGACGTGCATGCAATAACGGGGTGCTCGTGTTTGAAATCGCATCGACTACATTCCTTATTTATGACCATCTCTAGGCTCTAACGCACGACTTTCAACTTTAACGGGTCTTGATGATGCCAAGTGTCAGTAGTGTCACTTGCTAAGTTCTGAGGTTTGCTCATGGCTGCCTCGTTTATTTTTTTTTTGCACTTTTCATGGAGCGTATAAGCACGCTTTTAGAGGATATCACCTTCCACGACTGTTAGCGGATGGTCTCTGGTATTTGGCTTCACTTGAGTGAAATTTTATAGGGCAACCAGTTAATTATCGACGGCTTGACCTTATTTCTACATAATCCATCTTGCACGTGTCATGACTGACTTGAGTAAATCTTTTTTTAAGTTCATTTTCATTTTCGGCATAACGTGAAAGCGGACTTGATATCAGCCCGGGGGAATCGAATGAACTTTCATACACATGGACTGCTCCAAATTTTACTAGCTTGGGACTTCTTGGTAATTAACGCCAAGTTTGCTGGGGCAGTGTATGTTCTAGAAACGTCTCATTCTACAATTCTTTCTCATCGTACTCTAGTATACCCTATCAGAATTGATACGACAAGCCCACGATACATTTCCTTATGCGAGATTTTGAAATCTATCTTCTAAAATCCAAGTTTCCTTTTATTTCCCTTTATTTTGTCATGTTTCCTGATTTTCGTAAGATTCGCTTCTACCCGTAGCTTCGTTCATTATTTGATTTTAATTCACCCACTTCAATAACTGACTGAGTCGCCAATTTAGTGGTCACAACCTCGTGTCTATAAGCGCTAGTCGCATGCATCTCACCGAGGCCACTGACCCAATAGTCAGTAGCTGAAGGTCTTAGTGCAGATTTCTCTCCTACTGACCCAATGAGTAGACAAGGGAGAAATCGGTCAGTGCGTATGCGCCTGGTGGTCAGAGGGCAGGGAATGCCTGAGTGTTAGTGTGTCTGTCTGTCAGCCAACGGGTTCAGTCACATGTACTTGTAGGGATTGGTTGACCTTGGTCTTTGAATGGTTATCGGTACGCTTAGAATATATTTCTCGATACGAGCGAGAGCATGGCACTCTAGAATATTCGGAGATTCTTAATCAATTGGAACTTTGGGAAATCTAGCAGGAACGTATTTCTGGGATTGCAGGCATCCCCAGCACTCAAGTACCTGCACGGCTCCTCATTGTCCTCAACGGGTCTTTTCTTTGTAGGGACTTCTCAACGAGTACTTCAACGGTTGGAGTACGGAAACATTGGATAAGCACCTGCCCTTTGCCTACAACTGCTCCTGTTGGGTGACGCCGAATGACCGGCTCGTCTTCTACACACGTGCACCGGCTTGGAAGAAGTTTGGGAATCAGGTGAAAGTGGCTCACTTTGCTGGTCTTGAGAAACCCTGGAGATACAGCTTGGCTGCTAACGACGCAGCAATTTGTCACGCCATCGAGCGCCTTGAAAGCTCCGACACTAACTTCACCGATGCCGAACAGACCAGTGTCCTAGCCCTGTGGTGGGCCATATTTTTCAAGAGAGTGAAGCATCAACTAAGCTATGGCATGGTTAGTCTATTCTCAACTTGGTGACTGCAATACATGAAACTCCCTTGCTCCTTTCCATTCCTTATCCAGCTTTGACCTGCCTAAAATGTAACCTACCATTTTTGCCTCATGTCTTTTCAAGCACAATTAGTACAAGTAACACCTGACTATGATACACGTCGGTCGTGTAGCAGCGTAACGAATACTTAATGATAACTGAAATCTACACGTTGTATTTGTTTGATGTTTCTAGTTCTTATCAACGACATTCGAACCGGTTCCGCTCTCGCCACCGCCGCCGACGCCGCTAAGAGATCATGCGTCCCAGCACCAGGAACAAAACCAGTTTCATTTCGAGAATGAATACTATCATCCCGAGTTTCACGATACCTCATTTGATCATTTACACAGCGGACAGCGGGTTGACGAGGCCAAGCGATTTGAAGAGTACTACGTGTACGAGGAACCTCCAAAACATGTAGAACCTCTGTGCCACAAGTACTTCGAGGACAGAATGGCGCATAAACGTCATGATTCACATTACCATCAGCAGCCAGCGTATCATCATCATGAAGAAAATCAGCAACCGCACTATGAGAAACATTGTTTTCAACCTACGTCTCAGGAATACCACCAGGAACAATACGATCCAGCGCACCAAAAGAATTCCCTTCCTCAACAACAACAGCATCGGCAGAATGAAATGTGTCATCACAATCAACACCATCAACAGCAACAACAATGGCATGATCAAACGCATCATGAGCACTATGTGAAGCTGTCGCCTCCACCACCGCTGTCTGGACAAGACCATGTAGAAACGCAGCGGGATGCTTCATCTTTTCAGTCATCCCTGTCACTTCAACCGCCGCCACCGCCAGAACCACCAGAAACAAGGAATGACAAGGATCCGCTCTTCTTTGCGCCCAACCCGATGTGTTGTGAGTGTCTCAAGGAACTTCAATGGAGCAGACAGTTTGTGGATCCATTTCATCGGGATCTTATTTCCCCGGTGTCATTGCTCTCAGTGGCTACTCGCGTGAGGCGCCGCTCAACACCGCTCTTGCCTCTCGGGTCCGAATTAATCAGGGGTTCGCAGAAGCTGACATTCCCAATTGTGGCTATCGAGGAGCCTTCAAAGGCAAGTGGAATTCAGTCTCGTAAAAAGGAAAAAAAAAGCTGCCTTCACCAAATCCAAAGGGGAAAATTAAATAAAAAAAGGCGTCGGGGAAAGTCTATTGAACGTGGTAAATTACTTGACGCAGCCAGAAAGCAAATGCAGTTAAAGGAGGGTGGAAACATGCGAACGATTGCACCATTTCCAATGTCCACACCAGACACCAGCCCAACACAGCTAGGGGGGGAAGACACGACAACACCAACAGCGCTAAAGTTGGAGTCAACCCTGACAACTAAGATGAACAAAGGGCAATTGCAATCAAAGGGTAACAATGTGAAAAATTCAACAATCTCGACGTCTGTATCGACTTTAACCGTCGCACCGGACAAGAGCCGAAAACAGTTAAAGAAGGATGACAAGATAATTTTTGGGTCGGTGCTACCCGTATCATTAACTTCAGCAACTACACCAGGCACTAGGCAGATGCAGTTAAAGGTAGACACGATGACATCACTAGCAATGGTGTCAACCACAACAAACCCGAACACTAAAACCATAACCACAACTCCTAAGTCAAAGGTTCTTGATGTTACGAGTTTCGAAGAACCAGCTTTGGATGCACTGGCTTCCCGACAGGGCGAGATTACTTCTCTGAACACCCCGATGTCGATGTCAGAGGAAGGATCGAAGGCATTAGAACCGAGAAAAGGGGAAGGTCTAAATGACTTTTACGAAAGAAGCAAGTTTGAATCACATAAACCAAAAAGGACGGTTGAACATGAAGTTGAAGATACTCCCGTGAATGATGCACCGTGGCTGCCTCGAACAGTCAAAACCCAAAATGCTCCTAAGAAAGTGAGCTAACATTTTATGAAGGGTTCATTCATGTGTAGCGTATTTATACATTTTCATGAAGCGTATTAAACAGCCTCATGCGCTAAATTTGTTGATTGAATTATAATAAATTCGTTTCCTTATAGTATGTGTTCAAATGGAGTCTCGGCTAAATCATTTTTGGCATAAGAATTAGTTGATTTATTTTTTGTGGTGGCGAAAATACCGTCTAACGTGAGGTCATACTATCCTCTAGCCTAAACCCAGGGACTCCACCGAGCATTCGCTTTCCCTTGTCCGATCTAATTTCATCAGGATTTGAAAAGCATAGCCAGTTTATATTTTTTGATATGCTATTCCAAATTATTTCAGCTACCTGGCTACTTTGAAACGTCAAGCACCTCTATGATATTCACACCACTGCCCACTCATTGATGGGATTATTTTTCGTTTGCCAAATCAAACATGCCCTAGTGTTGTAAATTTTATTAATAACAGGAATTTTTTCCCGAAATGCATAAATGCTGCGTATTCCGGAAAAGGCAGTGTTAAGTGACCCAGTGTCTCACGGTTGGTGGCAAAGTTATGTCATTCATTTATCGGTCAGAACGATGTCGGTTCACCATACTATACAATGCTTAATTTTTATGTCCGATACGGCACCTATATTCGAAGTTGCCATAAACACGAATAAAAGTTTTTAGCACCCATACAATATTATGACGGTGCAGCGGATCCTGCATCCTCTCATATAAATAAGCGCACTGTCTTCATTACTAATTTGGATATTTCCCTGAATAAGAAATGGTGAAGAATGTCCGAATGTGATTCGTTCTTCCGGTGGTGACACCGGCTTTTTGTTAATTTCGCTCTACCTGTTTAAAATATTACCCTGTCAGATCTTTTTCTTTTATTTGTGACCTCACACCAAATACCACAAAAAACGGTGAGAGCCATCTCCAGTCTCAGTCAGTTATGACCTCATTAAACTGAATGAAATTCATTTTTATGCTATTTAGGAGAACGCAAAGATTATCAGGATTTGTCTTGAATCTTTATTCAATCTCGTGACTCAGTGCGTATGTACGGAAGAAGACGAAGATAGGATAGGTAATTTGTTCCTTATTGTTCCGCTTTTAGCTTTCGAAAGGGTCCCAATACTTTTGCGATCGCCACCGACCGCATTCTCCGCCGCCGGACTGGCGAATGTTCGCATGGGAGCGCGGCGACATCGACTACACGGGTAGTGATCGTTTCTCTAACATCCTCGCTCGCATACGCACCACTATTCGACAGGCGGAAGAGGAAGCGATGCCTATCGGTGTCTGGCTGTAGCGCTCACCTACACTGAGAGATCAACTTCATGAAATCTTAATATACCGTTATTCCCAACCTAGCTCCAACGTTTCACCCTCTTCGACCGTTGCAGATTTCCTCACCAAGGTACCTTCTCACACATGCCAATTGGCTTGAATTCCCAGATGGTATAGTTGTTGTACACCCTGAACAATCTTCGATGTTCTATTGTCCTTCATCTTCAAATTAAGCCCTTCATTTGCAATTTTGTGATTCCTAGCATTTTCCAAGGCAGTTTTTCATTAGCACTTGAAAACTGGTCGCGTTCTTCAAACTGCTACATTCTAAACGTGAAATTGTTGAGTTAGATTACTATTTTTGTGTTTTGAACCAAGATAGAAAAAAAAAACGCTTGTCAAGAGTGTGTAGGAGAACTGCTGTTTGAAAATATAGTGGAAGTGTAAAGCTATCTTAGTAATGTGATCTAGCTGCATTTTCGGTTTCGCTATTGGATGGATACAATGCATATTTTGAGTTATAGGAAAAAAGGATGGTCACTTCCTTGTGGTGAGCTTGTTGAACTAGGGAAAGCTTTATTGATTGCTCAAGCTGAAGAAACCGCAAGAGGGCAAAATTTATTTGTTCATGGTAAACCAATCTTGTGTCCTGGGTAGTACATTCTAAATTAAAATAACTAATCCCGCTTACGACCTATTTAAAAGTGTAGAAAATTGTATGGCAAAAAGTGTTTTATAGGATTCTTGTAATGGAGACCATTTCGTAGCTGTGGAAACTACCGAATTCCAAAACCAACAGAATGCATTGAAGTAATGTTAAAGAGATTCATTTATTTTGAATGTAGCATCGATATGGCTAGTATAAAGCTCTGAGGTTTGATATTTTATTTGCTCGTACACTATTCACAAGGGCACCTCGATTTTCCTCGTTCGCACATCCGCTTTGAGAGTGCAGCACTATCCACAGCGTTAGCATTTATTAATCTTACGCTAGTATTGAATTTTATTCTGTACTGATATGCCAAATATATTTCGTAAAAGATAAGAAATAATAGGAATCAAATTAAAATCAGCACTGCGTATTAGAAAACGGCACCAAGAAAAAAATGATTTTCGCAAAAACCTATTCCGTTAGAGTTCAAGCGGTTTGAAAGCATTATTGTAGTACTTTGGCTGTGTAACTCATGGCTTTAATAAAGAACCACTTTGGATCTCTGCCATTTCATCTAAGTCGGTTGAGCTGGCCTCAGGATCGTTGCGGCAGCTCTAAGCCCTACTACAAACCGACACTACATATTCCGCCTAAGTAGTACGCCCTCTTTCGTCTTCAGAGTAGTCCCGGGACGCTACATCATAGTCATAGTTTTTTCCTTCTTAACGCATGAAATTAGGTGATGCTCAACAATAAAATTCACTGTAAAAGAAATGGCATAAGAATTTACGCCCCACGCTAGAGCCAGAATGTGTATGTGTGGCACACCGATACTTCTCTGTAAACGAAAGAGGACATATTGTTTAGGGCAAAATATACACATCTGACATACAAAAAGACTTGCGGCTACTGGTATGGCCAAATGGCCAGCTGACCTGGCAAAGGCACGGTTAGGGACCCAAATTGACCCTTAAATGAAACCGAGTGTTAAACAACTAACGCTGTACATGCGCCTGTGTTAATTATGTGGGCAAGCGATTCACGGACTATTTTTTTCGCAAGCCAAATATTTGCCTATTTTAACTTCAGAAAAGTAAAGATCTAGACATTGGAGAACGCCGCAAAACAAGAACGTAGTTCGGATTCTTCCTGTAGGTTTTAATTAAAAATTGAAATATAGGATCGTGCAAAATGTATTAGAGTATCACAGGTGCAGCGGTTTTATTATTTATATTCGCGGTATAAATGTCTTTAGCATAATGTCTTCGGCGTAAATTGAATTTTGCAGGAAGACGTGATTTGTTTGAATTGGGGTATTTAAGGTGTGACCAATTCATTGGGGCACACGCTAAGCGGAAATATGGGCAGGCCAGGTTCGCTTTCCGTATATTAAGGATATTTCCCAGATTTTCGTGGCAGTAATCGCGGTGGCGGTAGATTTAGCGATCGAGGTGGGGGCAGGGGACGCGGCGGCTTCGGTGGAGATCGTGGGGGTCGTTCCAGCTATGGCGGTGAGGGTGACAGAGGTGGTTTTCGAGGTGGAGGTAGGGGTTTTAGAGGTGGTGGTCGCGGTGGTGATCGAGGCGGCGGACGAGGAGCACCTCGCGGACATGGTGGCTTTCGTGGAGGAATGCGAGGAGGGAAGAAAGTATTCATAGAGCCTCATCGTCACGAAGGAATATTCGTTGCCAAAGGGAAGGAGGATGCCCTTGTTACTCGCAATCTAGTCACGGGCGAGTCAGTTTACGGTGAAAAACGTATAAGTGTTGACGGTGACAACGGCACAAAGGTTGAATATCGTGTGTGGAATCCCTTCCGTTCAAAGTTAGCCGCTGGTATTATCAACGGTCTGGAGCACATTCACATGCGCCCAGGAAGCCGTGTTCTTTATTTGGGAGCTGCTAGTGGGACCACCGTCTCTCATGTTTCTGACCTAGTTGGTCCCAAGGGAGTTGTCTATGCCGTCGAGTTTTCACACCGTTCTGGCCGCGATTTGCTGAATGTCGCGAAACACCGTACAAATATCGTGCCAATAATAGAGGACGCCCGTCATCCGCATAAATACAGGATGTTGGTCGGTAAGTGTTCGTGCCCCTTTCCACTTTCTAGGAATGGTTGATTGTATCTTTGCTGATGTTGCCCAACCGGATCAATCACGTATTGTCGCTGTTAATGCGGAGCACTTCCTAAAAAATGGTGGCTATGCGGTGATATCTATCAAGGCCTCTTGCATTGACTCGGTAGCTGCACCTGAAGTTGTATTTGCCAAAGAAGTCGATACTTTACGGAAACAACAATTCACTCCTCGGGAGCAGGTTACTCTGGAGCCTTACGAGAGAGGCCATGCTATGGTCACGGCTCAGTACAGGGTGCAGAAAAAACCGGCTTAAATTAACTATGCTTTCAAGGATCCCTCAAGATTGTACATAGAAGAAACTTTTGACATTGGACAACCGTTATCTAATTGTAAACTTTGGGTGTGAATAGTTGTGTATAATAAACAAACATGTCTTGTCCCTTGGGTTCTCTCGATGCATTGAGGATGCACGGGAAATGGGTACGGCATCAGTACCATATTCAGCTTTTTTTGAGATTAGATCTCACGGGGTGCAAATACAAGAAGGTGGTGATTGACGCCCTTGACCAGCGGAAGTTTCCATCGGCTACACATACCGCCGATGGAAGGGAGCCGACGAGCGATAAAAACTCGCTTAACACGCGAGTGAAGCAGGGCCATTGCGCACATGAGGCACGGTTCTGTCGAGAGATAGACGTCGCAGTCAGTTAGAAGGTATCTTCCGCCGCGTCCCACTTCTACATTTCCGTCTTCGTCAGTCGGATAGTGCAGCTCCCGATTGAGCCTGAAATCGGTTACATGACCCATTACCCTGGGACATAAATGAGTCTCAAAAATGATTCCGAGGCTAAGAACAAGTATTTGGACTACTGAGTTCGTTGCGTGATAGAATCTTAAATCATACTGCCCAACTTGGCTAGCTGCGAGCATGATGGCGTGGTCGATGTGGGATTCGCCGTCCGTGGACACGGCTTCGGCCAGCGGTTGGGCTTCATTGGGGTCTGAACGCTTGACCAAGTGTGGATGAATGACGATGCAGGTGCACACGCAGTCTGGGTGTTCAAGATCGCACGAGGCGTTTTTCACAACACCAGACCGGCTCTTCGCTAAGTCAACAGCTCGTCGGAGCCAGCGGTTGTGCCTAGGGCCAGTAATCATCGAAACGCAGTTTAACGCATTCAAGAAATTTACCAAATTTAACCAAAGTTTCCATACTACAAATTATAGCGACTGTGTTGCAATGTGGGTAAAGGCTGCACCATCTTCAAACATGGATTTAGATAAAGATGTAGCCAACTTTGCTAAAGTGTAAGACTTTGGCCAACCCACTTATTAACTTTGAGAAATAAAACTTAGGTTTTATAACTGCAAGGGCCTTTTAAAATGGAACCCATAAACGCACCATTTAATTTCTTCAAAAGAGAAGTATGGTTTGGTACATTCACCCCGTCCATTTCCCCAACCTTCAACTGACAGAAGCGACTCAAGAGTTTGATTCGGATGGAAGTTGAAAGGCCAACTACGACTCTCATCATCATCCTTGATAAGAGAGGAGAGTGTCTTTTGTTGGCGGCGCGAGTGAGGCGGACAGAGGGGAACACGACAAGTCCCCAAAACCCCTCTTGAGATGCCCGTCATTTCACATAACTTGGAAACCAACTTTACCCCATCCACCTCCGTAAAGCTGCACAATTTTTCACAAGAAAATATAATTATGAAACGAGAGCAGCATGCGTCGATTCTAACTTCAAGCCTTACCGAACAGGCCTTACCTGGAATACCCAGAAAAATATTTAAGGGGGATGTAGTTTAACAATTACTTTGCATCGGTATATCCAAATAAGTGTTTTGACAGTTCGGAATTACTACATGAAAAGGAATTACTCCGTGTAAACAAGTGCATGAGGACTAGATAATTTATGGGCAACCATTATCGAAAAGTGGTAATGGTATCCAAAACTCATTTGTGGAAAGTCTGAAGTAGTATACGGTTTGGGAATGCTTAATTGAGAAGGCGAGACCAATAATAGCTTGCCTTTTACCAGCTAGACCCAGGAGCACCTTGCCAACTCGGGCCTGATCCAAATGCCCAACAAAGGCCCGTTTCACATGCCCCAGTACTTTGGGAAGTGGCTTGATTTGGGCGAGCACCGAAATGCAGGGGCTCATGCTCGACAGTGGCGCTACGCTGATGCACCACCCGGGGACGTTGTGACCCCGCTGGCACCAGTTTGAGGGTTCTAGAACAGCCGTCAGACGCTCCACACTTCGAACGAACTCATCACTACTTTCGCCACTAACACTGAAGCGATTAGTCCGTTTGATTGGCAAACGGTCGCCCTAAAGTGACAAACTATATTACTTTAACCGCAAATAGAAAGTCGTAGAATTTAAGGGGATCTATACGAGGTAAAAATCAGCTTGTTATTCATGGAAGTACTAAATTATGCAAAAAGCGACCAAATACGCATCGATTTAGTCTTCGAAAGCCTAATATGTTTCAGTGAATCGTAACCCAACGGTGTTTGGGGATCTCATCAAAATGGTCACAGGGAATAGATAAGTTTAGCGTAAACAACAAACCACCTAGAATAAGAATACGCAATTCCCCATTCATATCGGATTAGAAACATCTATGCACTTTAAATTACCTCATGAATGAGATTATCCGAAGAAATAAGAGAGGCATCGATCCCAGACGCCTTCAGTTGGTCGACCGCCTCCGTTATTTTTTCCAACTCGGTATCTTCTTGGGTTAAAATTAGATTTTTGTCTTTGTCAATTTGGTAATGTGTCAAGCCTAAAGTAAAATAGAATGAATCAGTAACAAAAATAAGGAGGATTTTTTACAATAGTACCTAAATGAAACCAGGATATTGTAGCTGACTGTTCGTGTTCACATATATTGATACTCCATATTCCTCAAAAATGATGCGTACCTAAATATTCCGAAAGAATATGATTAATGACCTGCAAACAGTCATTACAATCCACCGGTTCGATCCGTAACATTTGAAAGCTGAAACACGAACGTTCACCCTCACAGTTAAAGTGGTAAAATTAGTAATTTTCAACATTTATAATAAACAATTTGACAAAAGGCTTGGAAAATAACAATGCCTTTGTCCGTAAAACAGCTATCTTAAATACCACATTCCCAACTCAAGTTACTCTGCAGGAAACCAGGATGCACACATCCTAAAGTAGAAACGCATACAAAGTCTTGTTCAAGACGAATCACATAAAATAGAACTAAACACAAACATCCCTAGAAATTCCAAATTTTAAGGTCAGAACAATTTCTTCAGAAGCCCTATTTACGTCTGTGATGATGTACATATGTATAATCTAGGTGCAGCAATTGAAATCTGATGGAAACAGTCAATTGCTGGAGTCACAAGCAAAAAGAAGGAACAGTTATCGCAAAATAGTATATTGTAAAATTGGACACTGAGGTTACATAATTGTGGTATCCCGATATCATTTCAGTGGGTTAATGGTCTCCCGTGTTGCACTAACCAATGCGTGTTGTTCCACCATTTTCTCAGTTATGAAGCCACCAACCACCGCATTGGCAAGAGTGAGAAGAATGAGCGTTGAGGAAAAGCTGCCACACGCCTTACAAACTAGGCCAAACACCTTACGATATTTCGTAAGTTCGGGCACGGGGAAAGTTCTGTAAGAAATCGAGGCGGAAGCGCAAGAAGACACAGAAAACAGAACGGGTGCAACAACACCAGCTACCATCTAAAAACAAAAGAGTCAAGATCACCAGCGCAACTTCGGGCATGTGGGTGCAAAATATATAGCAAGGTGTGCGACCTGCAAACACCAAGAATACTGGATAAACTGGTGCATTTATAAAATCCTTACCTGAATAAAAGACCCACGAATTTCCAGACAAGTGGAACAAAGTGATTTACGTGTCTCCGGTAAAGAAAAGCCACTAATAAGTTTTCGATCCACAAATACATCCTGTAGGATAATATAACCCACACTAGGAAGTGCCACAACTGGAAGTAGAGTTCCCAGAAGATACTGCTGTGAATAAAGATTAAAGAACTGTCGCATTCGAATCAAAACCATGTAGCTAGATCCTGCTACACAAAGAGCAGACATTGTTGCACCATGCGCAAGTGCCCATACACTAGTTTGAGGGTGCCAAGATGAAACCACTTTTCGGTGCTCCTTCACAACTTCATTAATAGCTGACATAGTCGGTTCAACCCTACAGACACGCCTCCTGGATACACAAAAGGCGCATTGCGTATGAGTTGATTAAAACTCAACAATTGAGAGTAAGCTATGCAGTTTTATGTATGTACAGGTATGATGCCAAAGTTACTTGACTTATCTTATACTTTGTTGATAAAGAAAAAGCATGGCCAGTATTAGATTGCATATAAACACTTCGAAATAGTGTTTAATTCTCCATTAACCAGGCTACTCCAAATTAGTGCTACCGTTAGGCCTTCACCCTGTCTACTATGTTGAAGGTGCAAGACTAACAGACCACATCCAAGCGGTCAAAACACCACCTTGCACCCGACTTCACCAACCTGCGACTTTAGGTACCTGACCGTGTTGGTACGGAGACCCACCAGAATACACCTACCAGCACAATTCATGGCACCACGCTAACACTGGTGCACGAGAACCCTAGGACGCCTAACACTAACGGGCCATAAATAAAATCCACCAGTAGGGACTTTTGCGGGAACATTCCTCGAGGTCAACAGAGACACCACATCAAGGCGCAGAAAAGATGGAATGTATTTATTAGCGTGCTAGTTTGCACAAAACATGCATACCGCTCAGGCGCAGAAGCGCATGTTAGTTCTACCTCCGCAATTAACTCCACCTTCACTACATCTGCTAGCTGATGCCGTTCTCGACTTGCCTGGATCACCGGACAGATGCCGCTCCTCCACTGCATCAGGGAGACACACCAAACTATCCACGTGACCGCTAGTCTGCCATTTCGCAGAAAATCTGCTCAGGAAACAGCCACAGGAACGCCGCACCACTTCCAGATGGAAGAGCCCGCACTGCAAACCAAGCAACATTATCCGCTAGCGACCCAAATCCGTACACCACCTTGCGGCACAGCGCTCGACAATGAAGGCGTTACTAACAGCTCCTATCAGCATTCTAGGCCATCAACCGTCTGCAGTTTCATCAGCGGCAAAAAGCAGCAGATAGCGACGACATGAAGACACACCTTACAGCTCCCCCGAGTCCTTCGCTAGAAGCCAAATAAAAGACTATCAGCATGGAAAGGGTGTACATATAAGCACGTTAATTAATACCGATCTCTAGAACGAGAGCGGCTGTCACGATATTTATCTTTCTTATAATCATTATCGTCATAGCGATCCTTTGATCTACGACGCGAGGAGTAAGACCTTGAGCGTCTACGCCTAGGTGTTGATGAACGTCTAAAAAGTTACAATATTTGGGTGGAACAGGAAAAATAGGAAGAAAATGTGGTAAATGAACACGTACCGCCCACGTCTACGAGAATTTGGTCTACCATACATAGCGCGCTGCACACGAATTTCTCTTCCATCAATTTTACGACCATCCATCCCACGAATAGCGTCTTCAGCATCACGATCACTATAATATCTCACAAAGGCAAAACCCCGGCTATCCATCGAATAGGGATTTCGCGGAATATACACATCGCCTAAGGCCAAATTATCAGAAACATTTGAAACATACCAACTTCGCCGTAGCGAGAAAAAATTCTGCGAAGATCTTCAACAGTAGTTCTATAAGCCAAATTATCCACTTTAAGAGAAACCATCCCATCAATACGCGGGGGAGAACGACCGTAACTCATGCTCAGCGTCAAAGTTACTTAGACGCACACCAGTTCGAACACACTGACCAATCAACTATATCCTTGTAAAAGGGATTTTTAAACAACACTATTAGCACGAACTTTGAGTAAATTTCTAATGCATTCCAATTTCTCTTTTTTTATAAAGTGCTACTTGTGACATAGTACATTCTTTGTAGCTTCCTGAGACTTCATTGAAGACGGAAGAAGACATAATACTTGAGCAGAATACATTTATATTCGACATACAGAAGGGCCTGATGCTACTGACATGGTTTGGAGGCTGGTTTACCTGACAAAGGCTCAATGGCCAAGACGCAAAGTAACCTTTTACCAAAACTGAGAGTTAAACAATTAACCAACACATTAAATCGTCGCTCTTCATTTGAGCCTCGCCCCCAGCAACCCCCTTAGTCAATCTCCTTTGTCAACCATCACAAAGTAATCAGTGCTGAAAGAAAGCACTCACGAGCCATCCGTGACAGCCATTGAATTTCCATCCAACTGAGGAGATGTTTAACCGCAACGTCAATGATCCCGCTTGGCAATTCCATCGTATCTGGGGTTTCGTCCTGTGTGGAAACCATATTGTGGATAAGGATGATATGCTGGCCAATACGCATGTTTATGACTAGACTTAAGGACACTGGCTAAAAAGCTTACTCATGTAAAGTTGGACGGGATTTAACCCACTTCTGTGTGGATGGGGTTTCTCGTTTCTTCCACCTTGCCACGGTGTTCTCACTTCAGCGCTGCCCTAGTAATATCCATCAGGGTTCTATCCAGCCAGTAGAGAAGTGGAGGAGCTATCAAGATTTCACTTTGTAGAAATTTTTATGCAGGTATGGCAGGGAAACTTTTCAGATGGTTCAAAGCTAATATCACCTCAGTTGTTGATGGCCTTCCTGAAGTCCATGGAGCTAGGTATTCGCCGATGGTAGACGTCAGTTGTGATTGTGGTGACCCAAAGTTTTCGTTTACTAAAAGCGAGAGTTAAACAACCAATATACTACAAAGGTTAAATAGGACTTATTTTTTTCTTTACTTAGTGAGAAATTGAGGACTGCCTGATTTCCCCTCTAAGTCGCTAGGGGTATCTTAGTGCTTCCAGCCTACATTTACTTTAACGTCGATTAATTATCTATGAAATAGTCCACATACTTTAGAAGCACGCTAACACTTATGCTAGCCATATTATAAATTAATATGATACAGTCTACTGTGTTTTTCATGCTCTCCCCTAATCCCCACATTATAATAACGTTTTGGTGGCTTCGTGACGTATGCGACTTCCCCTGTAAGTTAAAGCTTCATTTAATTTGAGCATAACCATCAATTATAGCGCTCCGATCCTTCCCTGAATTAGTAACAACCCGCGGCGGTGTGGCAAAACATAACACAAACATACAGAAGGGCCGGGAGGCTACTAGCATGACCTAAAGGCCGTGTTGCAGAGCGGAAGTGCAATTTGTGCGGACTGAAGTGTTGGCATAATTCAACACACAGTTAAACAAAATACCAACTTTAAAACGCCAAACAATACCACTTTAAGTCATCTTATGAAGATCTGGATACTCCATAACATAGCTGTAAGCTTCATTGGATAAACTTGGTCGCAATAATTGAAAAGACTGTAAAAATTTGTGTTAAAATGTTTTTTTTTTCTAGTAACATTAAGTGGCGATATTCATCCCCTTTTAAGCTGACTGGGCACTGGCATTAAAATGGTTGATCTATCTCAGCAATACGCTCTTTGATTGTTCTTTCTTCCAACAGAACTACTTTTAACCGTAAATAAAAATGTGTACATATTTTAATCGATCAGTGCTCATTGATACCGCATACTGTTTGTGTCCAGTGTATAGCATGAAACGGGTGGCTTCTGATAGCAATACTGTTTTAAAATCCCGGAAAATTAAAGTATTAAGTTATTTTTAGCAGGCATTTAAAATATCCACTATTCTGTATTAGTAGTAATTCGGCTACTTTGTCATTGAAATGCCCGGAGGACTAGGGAACGAAGGTAAAGTCGACGAAATGTCAAATCTATTTACGGTTGAGTGAGAGTCTTAAGGTTCTGCGAAAAATCGTCTACCGCACTTAATTCGCAGAAAATAGTCCATTGTGAGTCTGGCTACTACGGTGAATAATTTTCCAAATTTAACACTTAGGGCTCGGTTGGTGCTACTTGCGATACATTTAGTCATTCATTGCCTCTGCCGAAGATTGGCCTGGTTTCCCCTTTCTTGATCTTGGTTCCTAATTTACGATTTATTTCAGCACTTTTTCTACCCACTCCATCGCACTCGAGCATCTGTCGTATGGAACTATAACGCCTCAAGGTAGTACTGGAATACCAAAAAAATATTAACGGTTTTACAGATACAATTAAGCTTTATTCAACCCTACTATTGCGAATGTTTAGGACTGTTGCCGAGGCTCCAGTCTTCTTCCCATGTAGCCTCATGGTGCAAAACTATTTCATCTTTATAGTAAAGAAAACCATATTGTAAGTTTTCCTTTCTGGCACTCCTTAAAGCGTAAGGATTGGCTTATCTTAATCCTTCATCTTACCAGTTTGCTTTTAGCGTTTAAATATTTTTAGCCGCACTCTTATCAAACCTTCATACACCTGTTTTCGGCCCATGAGTACCGGCCGTTGTCTCAGGTTTCAAGCTAACTGTTTGTTACGCTGCATTTACCGGAAAAGGAAACCTTCCAAACTATCGATACGCTGTTGAGAAATTATTAATCACCTTATCCTCAAAAATTCGGCAAACAATGGTCTGAGTTGTCTGTGTTGGTTACGTGGAGAATAGCAATTTTGGAAATAGCACAGTTTTCTATTAGCATGTAATTTAAGAGCTAATTTAGAGAAATAAGTAGAAGAGTGTTCACAAACCAAAACGTGTTCTTGATGTGAGGACGATGTATCTCTTGATTACAGTGGAAGAACGTGAATAACTGGAAACGAAGTACCTAGAATGCCTAGTCTAACGTAGCATTTACAAGACTGAGGCATTTCATCCTACTTGGTTTAATTTTCTTTTATATATAACCAAAATTTGCACAAAACCCAATATAAACACACTATAAATACTTTCCCTGAAAAGGTACACAATAAAACTTAGAGGCAAACAGGGCACAGGGTGGGGAAATATCCTACGCGCAATCTAGTTAAAAGGTTAGTATCCATTGCACTTGACTTCAGTAGATATGTTCATTTACAGAATTACACAAGTTTAAGGAAAAGATATGCCATTTAATTTTCAAAATTAGACATTTGAATTAATACATTCCAGGATGGCAAAGTGCTACTTGTACACTAAACACTACATCAAAATTAATACCTAGGGCATTTGTAATTTGTAGAAATGCCACATAATTTGAGCGATTTTTGAATATTTTTATTAATTTTATAATAATTCGATTGACCTAAAAAGCTGCCGTTTTTAATGGCTTAAGATCTATCATGGCTCAAAATATTTTCCAACCTTCCAATACCTTTAAAAACACAAGTTGTAAATGACACTTTTAAGCATTTTTTCCATGATGTAATTTGAATTCCTATTAAAGGGATTATTTGCTTTCTACCGGTTGTGCATTTGATGCTTCGCATCCATGCATCTATTCACCATAGGTAGTACACTAGCTTTCACTGTAAAGAAACTTGTAATAATCTGAAGATCTCATCAAATCTCTTATCGCCTTCGCAACCTAAATTGTTGGAATAATTTAAACTTCAGCGTTAATAATCAACAGATAAGCCCATGTGCTAAAGTATTTTGAGCCCCACTGGATCCTATTGAAGAGCATCTGCTCTTAAGGACGATTTTAACAACTCCTTGACCTTCTCCGGGAGAGCCACCTTCATCTGCATCTAATCCTGGGTGTCTACGTTTTCAGATTTCAAAATCGTGACTGGAAAGATGCATATTCAAAGGCATAACGAAGTATGCATTCATGCTAAGCGGCGGTGCTTTACTAATCACTTTAAAAAGTGCGATTGCAAAGTTGCGCTCATTCTGGAGTTGTGTGCATTCGCCGAGGTTTACATCAAGAAAACTGCGTTCCAAAATTAATATCCGTTTTCATAGCCACATTATACAATCAGGGCACATAACGTTTACAATAACCGTGTCACTAGAACTATTTTTGTATCCATATGCAAGGTTACATCTGATAAGACTACGGACTAATCCAAATATCATCGTTAGGTTTGTCAGATACGTAGTCTTGGTCATTTGATGAACTCATGCGCCTTCGCTGTCGCTCAGTTGGACCCGCCGTGTGCTCACAACGCCAATCGCTCGTTTATGAGCCTCTGATTGGCTGGCTTCAAACGCAGATAAACCAATGTTCCTGAGAGGAGAGCAGCGAACCCTTTGCTGAGCTCCTTCCCCCGCTCCGTTTTACCCATCCACGGCATCTTCGAGGCATAGGGGTGTGGAGGAGGGAGGGAGTGAGGAAGCGCTCGCTGGTGAGACCGGAGTGGAGGAGGAGGCTGTAAGCTAGACTGCATGGTCATCCAATGAAGAAGTAGAGGTGGAGGTGTCGAATTTACCTCCTCATATATAATGCTCGCTGTGCAGTTTTACCTGTTCCTCAAAGGTTATTAGGTGTTGTAAGTTACCTCACTCATTTATTTCCACTGGTTTCAAATCCACAGACCTCTTTGATTATTACACTGAGTACACTTTGAATGATAACGCAATTGTGCTTAGTACAGATGAAATTAAAAGGTTTATTATAATTTATACTTGTTTGCAGAAATATAATAGAACTTAGCGGAAAAATATAGAATGCTGTTGAGCATAAAGTCTGACATTTTACTCATGCAAATGTTTTGGCACTGATAAGCCAAACATGGGAAACTGTGGGATATCATTAGTTTGAAGTAAAAGTGAGAACCGAAAACTAGTCTCATCGAAACACACTTGTGATCTCGTTGTATTAATGTTTAAATTGTGTAAAATCGCCACGCTTAAGCATATCTGATATGACATGGTATCTCCCGAAGGACCCCATGACTCCACTTGATTCAAAGGTTTTCACAACAATTACAAAGCCATCTAATTTGTTCCATCTAATGAAATGTGCACTCTTAGTTTATTTTTTGATTTGACATCAAAATGCCAATTTGTTTGGAGGCTTCATGGACCAAAACGAAATGATACTGATTGCCAGATTATAAAGGAGTCAACAAATTTGGCCAATCCTAGTGCGACCTCCCGATAGTGAACTTTGCCTGTTTTTGATGCATATTTGTATTATTAGCAAGTATATGCCTTCTCGAACACCATATCATAACAGACAAGTTTCCAAATATTAATTTTTTCGTGCTGTTCGTTAAATGTTTATCCTTAAGGGAAAACAGATCTTTTTAATCTGCACATGAAACTATCACACAAATTTGGATACATGAACGACAGCTTCTGACTTATGCAACTTTTGAGGGTGGGATTATTTCACATTTGTGCCCTGGTTGGATGGGGCGCATTATTTTTGGGCCAAATGAGATATTTGTTTCATTTGTAGTGATTACTGTGTTTTATGTCAGATGCAATAGGGTGCTACTGACGTACTTTAAATTGTAAAAACGCTGGCGATGATGAGTGGACTCATCCAAAGAAGGCCAATGGGTAGGATAGGGAGAGTAAAGTTGGTTGAGTAGGAGATGGCGGTGTAGCAAACACCAGTAGTCGCTTCCACCTGTCGTATCCCATAGCCGCCTCGATTATTTGCTTTGCGCTTCTTTTATGTGTGAAAGAATCTCAACTAACATATCTTCCTGCCGATAAGGCATAGTTTAAAACACCTCATCAGCATGGAATTATTTATCTATATAAAATGATGCACTGAAGCTCTTGGAACACGTATTTTTGCTTGCTAAATGTTTGAGTGGAAACAACATCTCATTTAGAAGCATAAATTACTGAATTTACTGGTAAATATCTGTTAAAATCTCTATATTCCTTAGGCAAGTACTAAAATAATTGAGAGCTTGAAGTGGAGAATGTAAAGGGTGAAGCTTCAATGAGGAATCTAGAATCCAATTAAGTGCACCATTATGGCAACACGTTATGTTAAATCTGTCCTACAAAGCGGTGACATTGATGCCTTACCCCAACCAGATGGCGGCTTATAAGTTTTCATAGAGAAGGAAAACATTTGACACAGCAAGAAGATGTTTCCTAAACATATTTGCCTTCGTAGACATGCATTGTAATTCCCGATCCCTACAGCTAACTGGATCTTCTACAAAAGAGTAGACCGCTCGATTATTTCGATCGGGTACTTCTCCCATAGTCAAACCCTTAATCCCCATCCCTCCACATCCTTGCGCGCGTCGCCACAACTTCCGTCGTGGCCTGCTTGCGTGGACAACGAGGCATGGGGATTTGGCTGACTGATGCTCTCTTATCTTGATAGTATGCAGCTTGGAGCAGGCGAACACACTTCCGTAAATGTAAATATCGAGAAGCAATGTAGCCGAGGATAGGTCACATTCATGCTTACCTGAGTTCCAGGATTCAGTTTATTTGCAGGTCTAGCATATGTTACTTTATAACTTCTTAATTAACTCATTTAACAGGATGTAAGTCACTTTCGATACTGAATGTATTATGGTGCGCTGTGATGTCAATAATTAATTTGCGGAGTGATAAGAAGCAGCATGATTACCATATTTTAAATAGACAACATATGCAAGACTGAGACTGAATTTATAAAGGTGCTTTGAAAAGAACTGAATCTCTGGTCTATTGAAAACTTTATTTACACTACGGCTTTAAGGGGGAAATAAATCTTGAATACGTTTGTCCTTAATCGTTCATGTTTCCATGATTGTCTTCTTGATGATCACGCGCATATAAGCACAAACTATGGAAGAAGAACTTTGTAAAGCAAGAAAGTGGTGCTTGAGTTTTTGCAAAAGAAGCATGCATGCGCCAATGTGTGGTTTGTAACAGAGTGTTAGCATCAGTGACCACAAAAGAGCCAAGTTACTGATGACAATGATGATGCCTCTGCCGTCGGTGTGGTGGTGTCAGCGGCATTGGAGTGGTAGGACAATAAGCGGACCAGCCGCAAGTCTTATCGTCCGTAGGCTATCTACAGCGTTTCCGACAGCCACGGGCTTCTCCCAAAACAATCGCGATTTCCGGTGACCTCCATCCTCTCCAAGGCACCACCCACACTGTGGTGAGAGGCCTCATTAATTCTCTCTTGTCGCCTCCTCCTCTCCTCGGAAGTCGTTGCTGCTGCCGTCTTATGGCAAAAGGGGAAGGAAGCAGATGCAATCACGATCAACGGTGTTTTTGGAAGGATGAAGAAAAGAAGACTCATGCTAGAGGGAGTTAAGACATAACAATGGACATACCGGAAAGTTTGAGGCTGGTAGACGTACAAAACGGGGAACAAATACGCTTGTGGTGAATGATTACATACACTCAAACTACATTTGTATTTGCTTAAAGTGCGTGGCTATGCATGTAGCCAATAAGGTTAATCAGAATTCCGACCCAATTTTTGGAATTTTCCAGTCTATTTTAGTTCCTTAAACGGGGGACACTCCACAGGTAAAAATTTAAAATCTATTCGATCTGAACCGGAAACCAGTGATAAGAACTAACAGTAACGGAAAAGTTAGGATAGTTGGACCTGTGTTTGATGTTGTAGAGCCCCTATTAAAAATACCTTATTCATTAACAGTTGTCCGTTTTCGTGAAGCGTTCAAGTTAATCAAACAGGATTCATGAATACATAAACTAACGAATAGTTTGCATCTGTACTCATTTTAAGGAGGATAAAAATGGTGTTCGTGATAAATATATGAACCTTTGGAGTATCCTGTACTGCTTTTTTAAAATAATTATCTCGTTCAAGCCACACAAATCCTTACCCTTCGCACGGCCATCTGATTTTATACAAACAGGAAGACGCGCTTACAAATTAGGTGGATGCACTGATACACCATCGCCCCCCGCAACTGGCCACATGGCAACGCGGCACCGCCTTTGATGGGCCCTGGCCATGTGTGGTTTTATTGTTTGTAGGAACGCGGACGCCATGATTAACGTGCAGAGCGAATCGGAAGGCACAAGAGCCATTGCTATCACTGCTGCTGCCACTACTCCCATCACCGCCACCACTACTATCAACAGTAGTGGCAGCGATAGTAGTAGCCTACCAGCGACAACCCCTCGCTGCCTTCCTCTTCCTCTGGATCTCTCCAAGCCAGAGGGTGGAGAGAGACACAACACGTGTAGCCCCTGCGTCAGTATCAGACCAACGGAAATGACGCCGTTGGCTATATTTCCAACTCACTTCCGGTGGGATGGCACGTATAGAGGCATCCCTACACCAGCTGAGCTGGGCAAAATCATCGCACACCGATCACTCACCCTGCCCGAATTGACGCGACTTGCAAAGGCGCTGTTTCCTATGCCTCCATTCGATTCACTTACACTTTCACCTCCTTGTCCCAAACGCATTCATTTGCCCATCAGAATGCGCCGGATTTGTGGAAAAGAACCGGAGCTATTAGTTGCCAATTCTCTCTCCTCCCCTTCTTTTCCGTCGAAGAGGAGTGGAGAGCGTTTTCACTGTCAGTATTGTGGCAAAATGTTCCCCCGTTCAGCCAATTTGACTCGGCACATTCGCACTCACACAGGAGAGCAGCCTTACAAGTGTGCCTTCTGTCCGAGGTGCTTTAGTATTTCATCTAACCTCCAGCGCCACATTAGAAATATACACCAAAAAGAGCGACCATTTCATTGCTCGCTTTGCTTGAAAAAGTTCGGTCAACGAGCTAACTTGGAGCGACACATTCGCAATCATTATTTACTCGACTCCACATCTCGACATTGTTCTTTTCTGTAGAAGGATTTGGGAGAAGAATCTACCTCTGTTTTGCCTATGACTCTCACTCATATCTGCAATATGTCACATATTTTGTGTATTTTATTTGTCCCTCAGCTTCGAAATAAAGCATTTTACACGTTAGACTATTACTTCCATTAACGAAACTGGGGCTACCTTCCCCCTTCAGATACCCCTAACTAGGCACGCAATATTTTTTTCTAAGTGCGGTCATATTTACTTAAGATATGGAGAGGGGAGAAGGAGATGGGGAAAGGCAGAAGGAGGTTTCTTCACTCGCCTCTGGCGTGTCACATCAGAGGCTGCGCTCGCGGTTGCAGGAATATGACGGGGTGGGTAGGTCGGTGGTAGCACTCGCGTTATCCCGCCTCCCTCCCCCATCATAATGTGTCACATGGATGTTAGGTGTGAGAGGAATGGAAGCTAGGTTTCGGTTAAATGCAATGCCGAAGTGCCAGACCTGAGATTTGCGTGCGAATCAACATGCATTAAAGTGCGGTTTAATAAACGCCGGATGCTGGAATAATGATATGCATACATACCCACCGCCACCCCTATACTTACATCCTCCACGGGTGAAAATACAAGAAATTGCCTTTGAGGTGATTAGTTAGATGCTGTTATACTTATTCACTAGGTGCAAATTGATACAAATAAGAAAAGTTGTTTCTTAATTTGATCTCTTTTTGCATCTTTTAAAGTGGTATACTAGAAATTGCACAATTAAATATTTTCTCTGTGACAAAGCAATATAAAGATGGGTGAATTTTTGCATTTTTTTGCATAAATAATAAGGCAGTCAAAGTGATTTTGGCCAATTACATAAGTTAGGCTTGCTTACACATCTAGAGTGCCTTTACCTTTGATTTTGTAACTGCCAAATTGCGACTACATGTGTCAACTTACAGTAGTATAAATCCTCTTTGTATTTAGTGGATGAAATATTCTCTTTTACATTAGTGGAATGTTTGCGGCACCAAAATCGGTCATTTCGAAAAGAAACGGACGATTATATAAGGGTAAAAGCAAGTTTTTATTCGATGCGTGAAATGGTTTAAGTTTTAACAACTGCAAATCAAGGTCTCAGCTAGCATATTGGCTTTTCAAACTTAGGACGCTATAACTGAGGTGCCAGGATTAAAAACCAAAGGATTGAGAAGTTTAAACAGCCGGGGGGTGTAAATGGCGTAGATATTTCCTTGTGTAATGTACATGGGGTTAAAAATCGGTGTGATTGGAGCAACTATTTACCGAATTGACAGAACTATGAAGATCTGGACATAATCATTGCTACTTAATAAGAATCCGTAGAAAGTCAATCTTGAGTTAAAAGCTCTGGCAAACTACTTCTGCGCCACGTTAAAATAGTAGGTGCATTTTGGATGATCTAGTGAAAAAATTACTCCTTTCCGAAAGGCGTCAGCACATTAAAGGCCTCACACTTATTCCATACTTGTTTGCAGGGGAATATTGCCACAAAACCCTCTGATTGATGGGATTTTTTCTAAAATTGTAATTTGTATATACATAATCTTATTTATTTTTATCCGTCTGATAAGGATTCCTTTAGACGACTGCATCACCCCTCCCTCCCATTCCTAAATGTTTAGGAGCAAAAGAGGTCAAAATGAGATAATTTTGAGCCCATGCTTCATAATTATGAGGTTTAATACCCAACTTGACAGGGATTGCCAAAATACACCTTGTTAATAACTTATGTCTATCACATTTATAAACTCAGATATGTGTGTTCAAATTAGCAAAATAAGTTCAGCCACTTAGTATGAATACATAACTTCGTCTAGAACTTCACCCATAGCTTTAATGAACAAGGGTGACAGAAGTAACTCAAGATATAAAATGAGTTTTCTTTTAGTATTGCACCGATGTGCGTCACCTGACGAGTCGTTAAAACTTCCCTTGGCCCTCTTCGACTTGAACAACACATGACCAGCAAGTAAGGTTATGGACAGTAGACGAAGTTAAATTATCCCATTATGTCATTTTATTTAAACTCTATAACTCTAAACTCTATAAAAGCTGAAACAAAATCAAGTTTGAGAGCATGGCACAAACAAAAATCCAAATGAGAAAAACAGAAGCCGAAGCAATGTACAGCCATCCCGTGTGTGCTGGGTGAGAAAGTAACAGCCGAATGGGATAACCACACTTTGTTACCTTCTTTCAGATTTCTAAATTGTCTGCCTCAATGAAGTGAAAGTTCAATAGTAGGCTTGGACCACTTCATCTATAATTGCTTATCAATCGATGTCATTGTTCCTCAGAGGCCGACTAGCTTTATTTAAGGTCCCTTGACGAAAGTAGTATCCAACCGGCTTAATACATAAGCACTATCGCAGCATGCGACAGGGTGCTTGATCAGAAGATATTCTGCTTCGTCACCAATGCAGCGTTAGATTGTATTTCTATTTAGTTTTCGCACTAATTTACCATCTTCGATTACTAAATAACTCTATTTCCGAGATACGCATCTGAATCTAATTTTAAGCATATACACCTTACAGTTTGTACCCACTGTTGCATAAATACATCCAGTTCATTTTGAGTGCTACTGCGATGAACCAGCTCTCATTTGGCTAATTCTTGTCTTTCAGTAGAATTAAGGTGCTGATATGCATGTAGAAGAGTTACAACGAGGCTGGAATGCATGGAAAATCTTGTAGCCAAAAGTAACCGCTACTACTTAGATTTTAGTTACAGAAGTTTTTGGTTATTTTGCCTGCATTATAGAGGAATATTATTTCTAATGTAACTCTGAAGTGAAGGGGGCTATATTCTAAGAAAAGCACCTCAAAAGGTACTTTATATCTGTTGGAACATTAAAAATGAACTAATACCATTGTAAATTTGAGCTGAAATTGAATGAGTGGTGCATTTTAAAAAAAAAACTAGTACCCAAGAGCACACTGGTAAGCTGATGCAATTCAGTAATGTGTGCGGTGTGAAACATGCGCGCACACAGATGGGTGATCGGAGGGTGTGGATTGGTTCCTTCCTGGCATGCACACGCGCACGTGCCTCTGCGCACACGTGCACCCGTGTGGGCGAGGCGGCGGCACGGACGCACACGAGAAGCGCCGGTGCTTTGCCAATAGTGCCTACAAACGAGGCAAGCAATGCAGCACACTTCGACAGCCATCGGTGGGTGTGCGAGAGTGTGTTCAATAGGGGCCGAGGTTGCAACCGCACGCGTGTGCACAGTGTGCGTGTATACGGAGTGTGCACCGAAATCTGTTGTGACTCACGCGAAGGCACGCAAACGCTGCACAACCCAACTGCAAGGGAGGCTTCTTTTTGATTCGACTTTCGACTACGTGGGGATCAGTAGCACTAGAGAGGACCCAGGACTCAAAACCGAACGAAACCACCTATTTATACTGACAAAAGCATGTCTCAAGTGGTGGCCAAAGTGGACCAACTTTCGGATTCTGAAATAGATGATGCCTCAAAGATTACAGGTCAGTACTCCTGTAAAGCGCATTAATATCGTCATCCTAACAGTGTTTCTGTGGACATAGATCTATATGTATAGATCGTAACGCTTCTATAGGCATTGTGCACGAATTAAAGGACGTACCTTGTTCTTACGGTCCTATTATGTAAGGGTCTGTGGGTAATCCAAAGACCGGCGTTTTAGCATCTCAACAAACATTAAAATTTCTCCAAGTCTGTTGGAGCTGGAGCTCATATCCCCAGGGTACTTCAGTTGCATCATTCACCCTAAAATTCCGAAAATTAAGAGAATAGATTGAAGGGGAAGAGTTGCTTTAGCTCAAGGAGGAGGAAAGGAAGAAAGTCGTGCACCATGGTCAAACCAACAATAGTGAGAGTGAAAGTCTCTTCGTGTGAAGATCTTTGACTCTTATTTAGCTCGATTTGTATTGCAAATGGGTTAAAAGCCATGAAAAAGGCGCCACATTTTAAAATTAGGCATCTTCTTAAAGTGGCCTTTTAAAGTATACAGTTTAAATGCAAATATGGACTTTTGATAGCTCAGCATTCGAAATGTTTACAAATATCTCCCGATTGTACTTTCCAGTCACTGTGTATGTAGGTAAAACAAGGTGTACAAATAAAATGATTCTCTTAAAACCCTCGGTTTTATATACAGTTCAATCACAATTTTTGGAGGAATCGATGCTAAAAAATCCAAACTGGTTTTCCTAATTATCGCAGTATTCTTTGCTTATGTAATAGCATTTGCTGGAAAAGGCAATACAATTTTCTACTTTAGGTCAATAATGTTAAATGTTCTGAAGTTTGGTTTGACAGGTGCAAATGCTTTAGAACGAACCGCTTGCTTTTATGACTGGAACATAATTATTGCAATTGAGTCGCATTAACGACCATGGAATGTATTTACGAAAGGTTGTTTCAAAACACAAAGGAGAAGTTGGGATTACAGCTCCCCTCAGCTCCCAAAAACTTGTCGAAATTGAACCCACTAACCCATTTGGCAAAGGACACCATCAAAATCTCTGCATTGCCTTAGTATTTTTATCACAAAATTGAAATTATAAATGCGAAAATCCAGAAATTTCGACACAATAACACCAACCTACACAAATATCCGTTCGAATGGGCTGATTCAGAGTGACAGGAAAATTTACGATAGTTATATTTAGGGAAAAATTACTTTTGCATTCAATACAGTCTTTACTAACTGTTAGGGGAATGCAAATTTACTTCTGCTTCTCCACAGTTGTCCATTCTGCTGTGTAAATAGACTGCTTGGGGCCTAGTGAATTGAATTGACTGCAACCACACTTCACGTGCTACTCACCAAGTGAAAGATTTGAAAGATTTAAGTCAAGCCTCCATGATTTGTTTGCTAGATCTTCAATCCTACGCAGGTAAATTTCTGGTAAATATCTGGTAAATGGATCGAGCCATTGGTGTTAATTACCATCAACTGGCATTATATCGACATATATGATGGGTTTGTACAAAATATACGTGTAGTTCCATATAATGGCTAGAGTCGAGACTCCACCAACTCATTTCGCGTACAAAATAAAGTAGAGGCAAGGAGAATGACATCCGACACTCGGGGATCTCAAAGTATATTGCAATGATAAGCGCTCTATTCATTACTACTTTTAGCGAAGATACTACCGAACTTGAAAACAATGGGGTCGCAACGCATTAGCATCACCTCAATGCTTTCATCAATGTCTACTAATAGCTACAATACTTGGCTTTGCCTTGGGTAGGGTTCTTCGTCTACATGACAGGCTATTCAGTCTACTACAAACAAAAAAGGACATTTTGCTGAAAACACTTATAATACATGAGTATAAGGGATACAAATATTTAATAACATCTTTCTGTGTGGTAAGTAGTTAATTAAAGCGTGGATTTAGATAGAATTTTTATTTCGAAGCACCTGCTGTTATGTCATTAGTAATGTCGTGTGAGCAATAAAACTAGGTGATTTTCCTGGCCTAGCTATCACAGTCTAACCCTTGAGGTCGATTTTCATCAGTTTTCAGTTCATTTTAGCAATACTTCCCCTCCAACATGTTTTGTGGCCTACAAAATACCCGTTAACTTTCAGTTTAAGCACCAGCTGGAGTTATCTGTTTCAATTCAACGATATCAACTTTTCTTTCGACAGATCCGGCATCATGTCTGGACTACTTAAAGAGAAGGGAAGTATTTCTCTATAAAATGATGAACGACCCCAGCCACAAAGCCATGCTCTACTTCCTCGAAGTCCTTATGAATTCCGAGGTCCCACTGACGGTGGAGCAATTAGCAGCTAGGTTTTCGAACAAGTCCTTCTCTAACGAAATGAAAGAGGCCTGTGGAGGTGGAAGCGTTGATGCCTTGAAAGAATTCCTCCTTAAATATCCCTCTCTTTTCACTGTTAAGCCAACAGGCTTGGTGAGCGCCGTGGCTATTGAAATGCCGGGTTTCGATGAGATGTCTGAGAGTAGTATTGACGTGGATTGCCTCTCACTAAACCGAAACCCACAAAATACTACTACCACTGTATCATCATCCTGTCGCTTGGATCAGAGGGCTGTAAGCAAATCTTCAAACGAAACTAATGAGAACCCGACGCCCAGCACGCAACTAGCACCACTGAAGTCATCCCTTAAAAATTCCACCAATGGAGGCAACAACAACAATGAGGCGAAGCCAGTCGGAATTTATCAACCACCGATCTTGAGAGCTCAAGCAGCAGTAGCTTCCGCAGCAACCCAAAATAGGAGCTCTCACATCTGCGATATGTGTTCAATTGCAGCTCACGTGGCAACTACGGCGACGACAACTGTCGTTCACTGTCCATTCGCCGATCTTAATTGCTTAGGACATCACCACCATCACCATGGGCAAAGGTTTAATCAACTTCCCAAACACTCTCACACAGCCACGAGCTATTGCTGCTGCTCAGCTGATCTCGTCTCACCCTACTGCCGCCCATCAGGCAAAGGCGTCACTTGTTCACAAGTGACGAGCTTTACTTTAGAGGCGGAAGCGGTGAAGTTTTTCCAGCAACGTCTCAGTCGCAAAGAGGAACGTTGGATCCCCATTAAAAGCCTAGCAGGCCACCTTTCGCAAGCCTCCGCGGAGGTCCGCTCGATCGTAGGTCCGCAGTTGGAGTTTCGCCGCTTCCTGCTGAAGCATCCGCATGTATTTGAGGTACAAGGCGATCTTGTTGGCCTCAAAGATCCGTTCATTGCCACCTGTTTATCGTCAAGGCGGCCAAAATCTTTCGGAGGCAGCAGTCTCAATAGTCAATCATCATCCAGCCTCTCAACGCTCAATCTTCGTGGGGCCACTGGACTGGGTGGTGTAACCAATTCACAAAATGTTTTGCGGCCCAAATCGCTCATCATGCTATCTCAGGCATCATCAACTGCCGTTTCAGCACCTATACCCCGACGTCTGGGGAATGTGCCTACTGGTTCTGAGCGCTTTCTTCTTGGACGGGATCTGGAAAGCTTCACCGTTTCAGCACCCAACACGCCAAACTCACAACAAAATCGAAACGGCTCGTCGAGTGTTCGTCCACGACCTAATGGAAGTATGCAGAATTTTGCCCACTACAATAGTCAACAAAACGATGCTGTTAGTTCGTCAGCCCGTCAGCCACCTAGGCGAAATCGTGGTCAGGAAGTGGATGCAACCACCAGCACAAGCGGAAGCATTTGCATTCGAATGAGTGCCAATGAGTACCGCGCAATCATGTTTCTACGAAAGGTTTTGGCAAAGAAGGGTGGAGCACCGGGACAAGCAGGTCTCTCTTACATGCAACTGATGCAAATCTTATCTGCAAAGGCGCCTGAAACTGTTCAAAGCGCAATTGGATGGACAAAGGTTGAACTGGAGGAGTTTATTCTTCAGCATCCGATTTTCTTCGAAGTGCATGCTTGCACCGATGCGAATAAGACGCATTCTGGAAATAATGTAACTTGGGCGAGAGTGGAAACAAGCGAACAATCGGCAACTCTTGTGACGAACCGACGCGTACTCAAAATGATTAACATTGTCATCACAGGGAATGAATCTCTGGACTCGGGTATCCGTACGATGACGAACCGATGCGGTCGCGTCTTCCACGTAGCCAAGCTGTGGGGCATCATTGATTTGGGCAAACACGAGCACGTTTTCTTTGACAAGTCGATTCTAAAGTATGTGGACGACCTCCAAAAGCACTTCAAAGTAAGTTTTTAATCCGTAGAATCATTTTCTTGTATTGGCATTAGACCCTCTTTTAAAGGTTTTCAAAAAGTCATACGCAAATAACCAAAACTATCACTTGCATTTAACAAAACCCTACCCTGCTGAACGCAATCATCTGCACCATACCAGTACCTGGGATGAACAGTGTGCTGCAAATTATAACAACTAACTGTTTAGATGGTTGGTAAAAGAGTTTTCCCATGAAGGAGATTTTTTAGGATTCCAAATAATGTCTTTATTACTTGATGTAATGCATTTTATCGAGCTTTGGAGGAATATATTTCATGCAAATTTCCGCAATTGCGAGGAATGTTTGAGTTCTCCTACCAAATGAGCAACTCACAATTTCTATTACAATTTGTCAGTCTTTTGAGGTCGACTAATGTGGAGTTGAGATTGAAGCTTGGCGTTGGTTTTACGACTGCAGGCACACATGCATGTTTGGCGATAACCCTAAGTGATACCTTTCATAGAGAAACAAGGCATCAAAACAGGTGCAACCAATCTTTGCAGCGACACAACGATACTTATGGCTGTACATTGCGTACTCTATCCTTTTGCCGGAGGGTTTTTGCGTAATTTTAAACTCTATTACTACAAAAAAATTTGACGCCTTTCTAGTTTTAACGGATTTTCTCGGAAGCACTAGATGGTTGGTTACAATTAAAATCTACGAAAGGTGTAGACTTTTGCAGTGATAGCTGGAAAAAGAGGTGGAGGGAGGTGGGTAGGCCCCAGAGCCGAGTTAGTTGCCTTGGCTATTCACTCCTACCCACTCGCAAAAGCTTTTTGTGCGCTGCCGCATCGATCCGCGCCTCGTCCAACGCACACGGCGTGCGCATGCGCGCCGCGATTCCGCATTCCGATTGGTCATTGGCCTCGACAATCTGCAAAAGCGGCTTCCTCGGTTCGATTAACAAATGCCTGCTTCAAATTCTGTTAGAATTCCAAACCCTTCAGTGGTCAAACGGTTTGATGATTTTTGAGCCTTCACTTGTTGCATAACACAACCGGGACCGAAGTCCGCTCAGATACCTAAAACAAAGAGGTTTACTATTAACAAAACTATCGACTTAACGTCATGGCTGTTACAGCCGAACGGATCTTATTCCCCTTACAATTTTTCATGTTTCTATCATGACAGCTGTTGTAAACAGAATATAACATTGTTCTAAGGGTGTCTTTTTTTTCAAAAATGCCTATTACGGGTTCGCATACCACAGCCGAGTAGCATGCTTATACATTGCTCAAGAGCCAATTTGGGCTACAACTGTGTATGTTTTTACCATCATTGAAACAGAAACTTCACAGTACTTAATTTCTGATTTAACAGGATGTGCATTAGAGGATGCCTGCAAATTTTTCGCAAATCCGCGTGATATCCAGAAACAATGTCATTTCGAACATTAAGCCGTACACTCTCCAGTCTTATGAATTGCGATGAATTACATTGCGGTCAATTAATTGTAAATAGTTTTGACAACCCCATCAGTATTTGTTGTTGAATTTTAATAGGAAGGTGTGATAATAACCATTCTATGGCATCAGGATTGCCTGTATTGCCGCGAGGTAAACGTATTGTCATAGATGTGAGCTACATTTGATTGTGCTTTTCATGGGAGATTCACACCCATGTATTTACTCCCTTGCTACGAGGGAGCGTGCAAATGGATTTTTTGTTTGACACTTTTGTAGCTATACAGAGAGGCCGGAGAAATTCAGGAATAACTTTAAAGCATAATAAAATCGAGGAGATAAGCGAACCTGACCCCATCTTCGACACCAAGATAAGTAATCTTAATTTAAACAAATGTCGAAATTCCACATAATCTATTATTTAAGGAAGTCAGTTGATAGATGATTTTAACATTATCTTTTTTTGATAACATAAACCACGGCCCTATGTCTTTTCAGTCACGTCATTTCGCCCACCTGTCCATTTAATTGAATTGGACACAATCAACAGATTTTAAAGGATAAGGCACCACAGTGACAGCATTATATTGTGTGAAAAACCTAGTTGACCATGTCGAAAATAAATGCAATGATTTTGAGGAATGGCTACTTCTCCAACAAACATTTGACTCTTATTTCATTTAGCAAGTTACAAAACACTCCAGTGGACATTCCTACAGTCCTGTTTGGAAGGCTAACTTAATTTGGAGCTATTTTATCCCAAAATTGGCCTAGAATAACTTTGCTTACCGTGAGGAAAGATACGTCGAACTCCAACCAGAAATGCTATTCCATGCGCGATATGGTCACTTTATTAGATACATCCTACATCCGGAAATAAGAAAAACTGCCCAATTTTTACTGTCGTGATGATGTGCAGTTCAGAAAAATCGGTGTGATTTCTCCACTGGTTCTACTTACAGTTTGCCAAAGTGATCTCTTTTTTTTTTTAAAATAATATATATCTCTGCAAATCTTTCTAGACTGTAACAGGATAGTGCGAATTTTTCACCAGTCAACATCTTTTGCCAACTCGTAACTGAATGCCAGATGTTGTTTTATTTGAATCCGCATTAAAGCTGCCTAACGATAGAATCACATGTGTTTAGTCTCTTCCACTTACTTCATCGTTTTTATCTAAAGGCAATCATACCAATTCATTGTGTTTTACCACTTTTTAGTAATTAATTATATTTTTCGCAAGATTTCGCAAGTACCTGTGCCTTATACCACTACTATTCTCCATTTCTGTTATAATGGAAGATTCGAATTCTTACGTAAATTACATTTAGGTAAACGAAACCCTCTATTTCAACGCAATCCTTGCTCCAAAGGAGTCGCGTGCAAAGTGGAGGGCTACCCAGGTATGGAAGGAGTGCGATAAGGAGATAATGGAGAAGTTTGGTGGCAGCGCCTTTACTGACCGCAGCGGGGGACGCACCGCTACTTTACTTTCCGTCGTCGGAAGGGAGGAGGAGGGCGGAAAGAGTAATACCACCGTTGCCGACTCTGACTCCTCCGACTACGGTTTAGCGGAGGAGGAAGAGGTGGAGGGGGAACTCGGTGAGACCCCTGGAACTACTCGTGCCGAAGGACTGAATCCAACCAATGACATCAATTTCCTCTCTGACGATGTAGAGGCCGAGTTGGAGCGTATTTTAGGCCCAAATCAGGAACTCACTACAGCTGATACCACTAACAGCCTCCCTAACGCAAGTAATCGAGTTCCCAACGATGTGTCGGATGAGGATACCAGCATCACTGGATGTATCGAGGACATAAGTGTCAATTTCTCTGATGCTGGAAGTCTCTCGGAAAGGTATTCACAATGTGTCACCTCGACGACACGGGAGGAAAAGAAATCAATGTATGCTGCTGACTCGCCACTCGGTGAGCGCTTATCGATAGCTGTTCAGACCCTCTCAACAGGAGACATAATGGCAACGCAGATTTTCCATGACATGACCTAAGACGTGTGAATCTACTACCGTACAGAAGAATCCCTTTACATACATTTCCCAGATGCACACATCGCTGCACCCCATCACAAACACATCCAGCCTTACATGCGGAATGCAATCTTATTTTGCTGCCCTTCTTACTGGTCATAAGGTCATTTTATGTTTTGAAGGTCAATTTTTCGTTCCTTTTATTGCACGATTATGAACACAAGAGGAAAATGTAACTGCATTTTAAACTTTTTCCCAGTATGCTATAATCTACCTTAAATAAAGTGTGTTTGGCAGTAAATTATTCTTGATGATTCTATTGTTTGGCGGCACTCCATAATTTTGTACTTATAATTAGGCTCATTTGTCATTGTATTCATGGACGTCGTTTTGTCGTTCATTCAATTTATCTGACAGTTTAATGCACCAAAAATATAGTATCACTTTTTACTTGTCACTAACTTCACACATTTTCACTCTAAAACGGTATACCCTGGATGGAGCGCTGATAATAAGTGGCACTTTCAACAGACATTCTTGAAAACTCAAATTAATACCACATTAAGGTAGTTAGCCTTATCTCTCCACGAATAGGTAACGTAACGCGTGCATATGGATGTTCGATTTGGAAAGTAAATCGGCAATTAAGGAAAACTTTTTTGAGTGTGGCGTCTTGAGACTCCCTGAAGACGAAAGATGACACAATACTTGTGCAGAATATGTATATTTAGCACTGAGAACGTGTCTGGGCTATTGGCATGGCCCAAAAGGCCGGCCCACCCAGCGAGGTACAAGGGGACTAATTCAAAGTACAAAAGTGGCGCCTCACCAGAACCGAGGGCTAAACCACTATCGTATTGCATGAGTTTCGTTAACTCCTGCCTTAACGTGACATTGTTGGCAACAAACTTTAAAATGCAGCAAATGCCAAAGAATCCATAAAGAGGCATGCTATTCACAGGTGCTGTACTGATTACCACTCCTAGAGGTTTTATAAGAATTGCGAAATAGAACCGGTAAGATTGAAACAAGCACTACCTTAAGCTGAAATTCAGTGCAATTACTAAATATACACTTAATGCCAACGATCGTGTGTTTATGGTGTCCCGAGTGGGCAAAAATTTCAACATTACAGTTGTTAGATGCTGTTTTAGTACTAACCATTAGAATAGTAGGCAATTATGCCCTTAATTGGGTCGTTTGCACCCTATTTATGTAAGTCTATATTTCGTGCTCTGTAACGTCTGCTAAACCCATACAGGAGAAAATGAGATATTTATGCACCTCGATACTTATGGTAAATTGTTAGTCGGCTTCACATTCAAGGTTGTTGCTATTTGTTTTCTGGCGACCTTAGCAAAGACTAATCAATGAAAGGGCTGATTGGCGGCAGCAGTGTAGTTGCTTACGCATGTCTCGCGTGAGTGCACATTATGATGGTTACGAGATCAAATACCTAAGTTTTTCTGAGAACTTCGCCTGTTTCGTCCCACCAAATGATTTAAAGACAGTCTTCATTCTCGAAATCAGTCGCTTACGTTTGTGCGATGAAGAAAAGTCTTTATCGAAAACTGAACCAAAAAGTTTGTGCTATGAGCATTATGAAGCAAAAATTGTCAGACATTTCGAGTTTGGAAACATGATTTACGTCCTGACTTATGATGATGTTGCAATACGAGTCCATCGGTCGAAGATCAGCACAACTGGGGATGTACAGACTAGGTAATGATCGAATTGCCTTATTCTCCTCAGCTGCATTTCAGAGGTACCTCAAGAATCTGTGTCCGCAGTCGATTTCGACGTTCAGCAAATGCGAGTCGCATTGGCGTCGCCCTTTAATGTTTATATAGTATGAATAATTCCATTGTGTAGTAGTTTTACTAGTGTAATCTGGATAATCGCTGTGAAATTTTGGATCTGGGAACCCATATGCGCAAAGTCACCTCGGTTAACTTTTTAGCAACAGATTTTCTTGGTTCATTGGACGAATCAGGTTTGTGCAAAGTTTGGAATACTGGTACACTGATACTACACGTGTCTGTTTTATTGAATGGGATGTCTTCCTTCGTTTGTGCAAAGGACCTAATGTTTTATGGTACAACTGATGGTCAGGTATACTTTATCTCTGCTCTTATCGTTAGATTTACTCTACCTCAATTACAAATTCAAAGAGTCGTCCTGAATACTTTTCAATAATACCAAGGCCTCCAATAATTTCCGGAAATCATGAGTTTGGATTAGCCCATAGGGGTATCTCTATAATGTTCTTTATAGCTTCAAAGGTTCATTCAGGCAAGAGTGGAATATTGCAACAGCCATGAAAAGCATATCCATTTCGGACCAAGCAGCATCGGAAGTTTTAGCCATAGGATTGTGTCCATCCCATCAGTCAAACCTGCATATGTGAGTTGGTGTCTGTTTTTGATCGCCAGATGTTCCTATTTTAGCAGCTACAAACTATTATGTCAGAAATATAATTTAGCACCTGTTGGGACATTGCACTGCTTTAATTTAACCATTATCCTCCATTCTGAGGTTACATAAGTATGTATATACACGCAATTATTTTTAAAGGTTATGTATTGTTACCACAACTGGAATTTATTTACTTAACCAACGGACCCGAACTTTCGATATGACATTTCCAATAAACAATCTACTTTTGCCGAACTGGTGCTATGCAACTTCGGCCGAAATCTTTGTTTCTAAGGTAAGCCCTTGAATTAGCATAAATTAACACTAGTTTCTAATGAAGTTGTTTATTTAAAAATATGCCGTCCTCTACTTCAGCCTGAGTGATTTGATTACCGTTTTTAGAATTTTGTACTAATTGGACTGCGATCACTTAATGGTCGATGTGTTTTGATATCGGTTGACATGGAGATCTTGTCTGATTTGGATCACGAACAAAGCGAGCTTTCATCTGTGGAGAGCATCAAAAGCTGTGAGCTATCATTTTTGGCAACGTAAGTATTGGCTTTTTGGTCTGCCGACACAGTAATTTATTTTCACTTGCAAGATTTTATGATAAGCAGTGCTTACTTGACTTGAAGTTCTTATTCCTCTCAAGTTTTTATGCATTTTGGATGATATCATTAGTCATTTTAGCTTGCAACATTCATGACATTTGGTGCACTTAACCAATACAGAACAGAATCACCAGGCATGGCCTATAGTATCTCTGAATTGGATACCTTTTGATGAAAATATTTCACTACGAACACAGTATTATATTGTCTAGCTTGAGTAAATGAGTACGACTACTAAGTTAGAATATACAACCTTCTTTTCACATATAACAACTGGCTTTCTTATAATATTAAGTGGGTTTTTAGATAGTACCACCAATTGAGCTACAAAGGTCGAAGCTAATTTGGAACTTTAGTGATTTAACAAAGTCCTTTTTAGATCATTAATTTGTTCATGGGTATAAGGCTAAACTAACTGTGATTTCTTAATTTCTTATTTTAATAAGGCTTCACATATGTTGAAGATTTATTCCGTGATAGAATTTGTGTGCACGGTTTGCATTTCATAGATTTTGCTTTGTTCTTATTTGCTAAGATCATACCTACACTTGTCACCTTTTCTTCATTATTTTCGTGGCTTTTCATTAATTGATTTAAAATGAATTCGAATCATTTATCTCTGCGCTTTGTTTTTTTTGAAATAAATAAAAACAGGAATATCTGGTGCTTACTTACATGCTTCCCACTTCAAGTGGCGGTATATTCTCACTTCTGATTGTGTATTTGGAATAGGCAAGCATTTTCGAAAGTGGGTTTGCAAACACCATACACTTTTTCACCTTCACTAATGTGATTCGGTTATTCGCTTGCCATTTTCTTTGGAATGATATTTAAGTCAGTTAATTCGATCCATTTAATCTCACATATTAATAATGTTGCATGAATCTTTCTCGTAAATCGGCACTTTTTTTCAATAAAGTTATTTAGGGTTCATAAGATTATTTTCGGTCTTCCCTTTTAGAAATTACGAATTGTTTTAAGCAGATTAAAATCTTAAAAACGTTTTTTTAGTTGAAACCCTTACAGTTCGGTGTTGTTTGCTACCATGCCCTTTCAATTATCCCTTCAATATTAGGGCTGCTTTGATGGGTCAAATACCCTGGGGAAGGCACTTGTTTGTCGAAATTTGGCACCCAAAATGCAACAGGCTTCTGCTTCGCAGGATAAGTCTATAGTTTGGCACCTGAACAGTCGAAGTGGTTCCCGAAATGCTCCTGCTAACCAGCCTGTAACCTTCGGGCATGCTGTCAAGTCCTCCGGTTATGCACCCCAAGGCTCTAAGTAAATCTTTATCCGATTTCCCATTGTCAATCCAAATACTTTTGATATTCGACCTTAAGAAATAACCTTTTTGAAGAGTGACAATGTTCAGACCTCAAATCGCTATTCATAAAGCGAAGGAAAATGCGGAATCTGCGAAGACAGAGTAAGTATTTTTAAAAACAGCTCCATTATATATTTTTTATCAGCCATAAGGTGATTTCATAACAGAAAATAACTAGAGAGAAGTTGATACTATACAGGGCCCTTACTAGGCGATTATATCTACATATTTGCAAGACTTTATATTTTGACTAATTTTCATGTATCAGATAATAATATTTGACGTTGCCATTATAGTACTATTGTGATGACATTCGCTAGTCAAGTTTTTTGAGGCTAGCTTTAGCGACTTTACTCAAAGTTATTAAGCAGCAACTTTATATTTGTTTGCTATTTAGACTGACTAACAAGTTGCACCGGAGATATCGATACGACCCTGAGCCTTCATTCTGTTGTCTTGTTTCCGAGCGTCTCGAAGCAGAAGAAACGCCTATATATTCTGTTTCATACTCACGTAATATTTCCTTGCTCTACTTCCGTATTACTGAAATCGCTAGTGGAACACATTGTCCATATATTAACCTTTTTACAACAAGTTAGTCATCCCTCTGACTAAGACTATATTGAAAACAACCCTCAAAATGTTAGTCCTTTTATCACCATGATTAATAATTACACTTTTATAAGATGGTAATTCGTGCGGCATTGTTAGTTTCTATTTACGAACAAAGTCTTTTTTGCACGGAGGAATTGCTCCACTGCGGATGGCCGCTTTCGGTAAGTTGTGTGTGGTTTCCTACACAATCTCCTTGGGTCTTGCGGCATAGCCTCTCTTGTTCAATTAATCAATTCAATAACTGTGGTATTGAAATCTGTGAGTTCTATTTATAGATTCTAGTGTTTCAGGAGGATCGTAAAATTTTACCAGAAGTTTACCATAACAGTACAAAGAACGACATTAAATCTTGTGAACGAATCCCCATCCTCTATTTTTTGACCCTATTTTGACACTGTAAAAGTGTTTGAAAATACTTAATTCAAGGGTGAACTTTGGACACTTAATCTGTTACTTGCGATTAGCGACGGATGATCGAGTGGCCGTGGCTCAGGGGAACGGTTTATGCTCCATATTGCGGACGGCTAGATCGGGCGATAGGGCCCGGCCAGGAGGGTGGAGGGAGCAAACGGTTCTTGTGGGGCACCAGGGCATCGTATCCAGCGCGGAGTGGTCACTGGATGGCCACCTCATCATCACCACCTCGACAGACAGAACAGCCCGCCTGTGGTCCGCCAATGGAGGGGCTCTCCGCCTTGTCGTGGCCTCGCCCCGCGGCGGTTGTGCCGATGGTCACGGACAACCTTTGCGCACCATATCAGCCACCACTAACACGAAGGTATTTATACGTCGGAATTTGTGCTACTGAAACTCATATCAATCTGTGCTGTAGTTGCTTTGATTCACACATTATTATGACTTAAATATTATGTTTAAAATCTTGTAAATGCATCTGTCATTGGTTGCTAAATCCTTTCCTTATGTAGATTTATCCATCCGCATCATTTTCCCACTACTACTACGTAGATCAACGCTAGTAACATTTACCCTTATGAATCGTGTTTAAGGGCACTCCAAATGTACGTGGAGAGTGCCATATTAATGTCGATTTATGGTTTAGTTACTATTCCAACGACAATTTTATTTTAATAGTGAAGTCTTCCTCTTTTGTTTTTTTTGCTCGGTGTGTTATAGTACTAAATAAAACTTACTCGTCATTCGATTCGCTCAATCAGCTTTTCAAACTAAGCACTTCTGTATTTATCTGCCTTTAGAATTGCCCCATTTCCTCTGCTTTTGTTGATCATGTGCAATTCGGAAAGTTCCATTTGCAGGACAGCTTCTTCCATGTGACCTGTCAAAATAAAATATTTTTCTTCACCTTCAACATTGACAAGAATTCCAACGTTCTCCAAAAGTGAGTCTCATCCATTCCCTTTTAGATTTCGTATACAATATCGATGGTGGTTTAGTCAAAATTTCATACACCGTTGACTTAACTAGTCCAATTGTCTGCTCACAGTTATCGCTCGCTACATAAACGCAATATTCACTTTCCAAAAAAATTCACATTTAAGATACTTTTGTTTAGCGTCAGCCCATTTGTGAGTTTTCTGAACTCATATATTAGCATTCACGTTAAATTTGCAATCTAGCTCATGCTGTCTGGCTTTCTCATGTTACCTCCTGTCCTTTGATCGTTGTGCATTCATAACCTTATTTTATTGGAAAGAAGAAGTTAACTTTTGTATTAGTGAGATTCGTGTGTGGCTACCTCTAGTCCATCTGTACCTCGGTCTCTTCCGTTTTAGGTGTCACAAAATGGCATCATACCGACAAGTGGCAAGATTTGTTTTTGACTCATGCACCAGGCTTACTGCTGTGTCATCAACTAACCTCTTTTATTCATGTAATTCTCCACCATCCTGCTTTTGTTCTCCACTATGCAGCTTAAATGGTGAAATTACTTTTAGATCTTCTGTTGGCCGTGGGATCCGATCGCTGTTTGTATATTTTGGACATAAATAGTAAGAAAATTGTGCGTGAGATCCAAGCAATTCATAAAGCCACCGTAACGGGTGTTGCCATAAACCAAGTGAGCTTATATAAAGGTCTAGTTTTAAATTCAATTTAAATTCTTAGGCTCTGAACTGCTTATGACAAATCATCCACACACTGCTAACACTTCATTCGTAGTTTACAAATGGAGGTATTACAGCTATGGAGATTTATAAGCAGAAATTTTTGAATTACTCGGGTTGTTGCATTGGAAATTTTATGGTGACAAAACAGATATTGGTGCAGTTTTAATTTCTTAGTGAACAAATCTCATATATTACAATATCGGATACCATTTATCAGTTATGTAAGAAAGAATAGAAGAGACTGCCATAAGAACATATGAAAGTAAATTATTTGTGCATAGCTTGTGGTTGATAAGGTAACATTTAGATGTCTACTTATTTGGCAGGGGTCGCTCTACTCATCGTTCACTGCAGAGAATTCTTCAAACAGAGCGTATGAGTGCGGTTTTGGTGGTAGTGGTGACACCGCCGGAGCCTACAGCTTCTTTGCTACGGCGGCGCCGGGCGACAGTGTGCGCCTGTGGGACCTCCGAGTGGCCCGCGGCCACGTTGCTGAAGTGGCCTGCTGCCGGGCTCCCTTCGGCACTGGCGAGGGCAGTGGAGTGGGTGGAGCGGTGCGAGACTCAGCTGTCCCTCCAGTGTCTCTAACCTTCTCCCCATGTGGTCGCTACGTCTGTTTTGGGGCGCTCGCCTCCACGAGCACCACTCAATACCTGACTCCCACTGTGGTAGACATTCGTCAGGTCTGCAGGCCTCTGGCCCATCTGACGCTCCCTGACCGCAGACCCAGTATCAGCAGTGCGGCAACTGTCGTGGCGTGGAATCCTATCAGACCTGAGGTATTACTTCACTACTTTTGTTACATTCCTCTTCATGAATTGAAATGTATCGCCAGTTTTAAATAGATTTTGGTGACTAAACTTTCATAATGGGAATAACGAAGCATTGACCACATAATACGTCTCTTGATGTGAAAAGTGTGGTCCAAAAGGAAATGGAATCTCCGTCGCTATGCAAAATGTCTAGTTTTTTCTTGTGCTTCCATGCAACTATCATTTTTTCCACGCATTGAAGATGATGCACTTTTTCTCGAAAATACGAACTCGTTTAGCCTCATTTTTATTCTGATGTACAAAATTGCAGTCCTTGACCGCGTCTAGAGTGTTTGCGCCCAAATAAACTCTGTTTAGTGTTCCTTGAAACTCTTGATCTGTAATTGCTTGCTTGTGATTTTTCTGCATTTCATTAGGTCAACTGCTTTTTCTCCTTTTTAGATCACAACAGGTTCTTTGGATGGACGCCTTTCAATTTTTGGATAATGGCTTTTTGTTCGAGATCTTGACATCAACCTTTGTATAACCTTTTGAATGTTTGTTGTTTTTAAGGTCAGCAAATATTGTGAAAACTCATACACGTTATCACCTTACCATGTTTATTATATAAATGCTTCCTATGGTTTAACAAATCGTTATGCTAAGTCTGTTTTACTGTTCATGCCCAGTGTGCCCTTTGATCAGTAAAATGACCTGTACAATGACTTATACCTTGACCTTGGATTCACACTTTAAAAAGCTTTATAAGTTGCCCTAACGTTCCTCAAAGTCCCAAACATTTCGGTTTTCTCGTCGAATTTGTCAAAGAAGGTGGTTTCTTTAGCTTTAGTTGTACGAAGAAACCCTACTCCTGATTACTCTTTTTGAACTAGATGTAGACCTTAGGGAAAACTTAACTAGTGGCGCGAGCAGTAACTCATGAGGGTTCCATATTAGCGCATTGCCTACTGGCCAGTGGAATACCAGCGCCAAACTTCAGTACTTGCAACCTTCAACGTTTGATTAGTTGTTTTGTACGTCTCGTTAATTTTAAAAGGTGCTGCATGTGGCCATTCTACGTCTGCAATCTTTTCTTTCTCATTTTGACGGAAAAACAGCTTTCAATTCCAATGGCTGGTAATGGAATTTGACGCTCACACACTGCCCCCTGACACTGATGATTATGTAAGAGAACTTCCCACTTCGCTAATTACTCCCGCACTATACATAGAAAGACTGTTATGGATGACAGCATGTTTGGGTCCGCTCGTTTCTATGTTCACCGGTAACACCCCAGTTGCCCATTATTATGCGTGAACACCCCACAACGGCCCCGGATCTGGTACTTTTTTCAATTTTGACCAAAATCAGATATTCATTTACTATGAATTGAATACTTGAGGTTCACAATCCAAAAAACCGGTTCCATGAATAATCGTTTCGTCACACAAGAGTGCTTATCAACACTGCAAGGTTTGTTTGTATGGGGTGCTTTTGATTTTGACAGTGGATCGTATGACCTTAACAAAAGGAATCCTTGTACTCCATAGACTACCGCTAACTGTGTATTGACAAACAAATGGTTTTTTCTCAAGAAAAATCTCCCGTTTTGTTGTCGTGGTCCGTATGCGCTGTGGCTCTTACCTAATGTTGACAAATGCCATGTTTCTTTTGTTTTGGTAACTAACATCGCGTCCCTGGTCTCTCTTCATGGGCAATTCAAGTATGGTTATAAGTGCTTGTCCGGATAAGATTAGATCACAGAGGTTCATCAGTCACAGGGCCACTTTCCCCTTCCTCAAAAGAACATTGGTCCCTCTTCCAAAAAAGAGAGCTTCACATATGAACAAGCCAATCACCACAGCCCAGACGTTTAATGGCCCAATACGACACCGATCGCCGTTAATTTCTTGACCAATTCAAGTGCTACTCAAAACTATAAAACGTCTTTGTCTTCAAACAACGAACACCTTAAACTACTGCATTGCCTTGAACCCGAACGATTTGCTTTCGACACAATTTAGCATAACTACTTGTTACCGATTTGTAGCAGCGCGTGTCACACATCTGTGACGCTAGGATCCGGCAAGAAAACCGCAACGTAAAGTATGACGCTGACAGCTGAGCTGTTAACAGGCTCTATCAGCCGACTAAATCACCTATGGTGTTATGTTTTCATTCGAATTTACTGCTATATCACCGAGGCTTCATAAACCTTATTACCATAGTCATGGTGGGGTGTTCGAGGTCTAGGTAATTGCGTTATGCCTTCTAAATCCCATGATTTAATTATACGAACCCGCTTCATGATGAATGCAGAATAAAGTAGCACATTTCAAACTATATTTCCTCATTTTTGTTCTTTTCAAGTTACAAAGGCAAATACTTTATCCGGTTGATTATGAAAGCACGGGCTATTTGCTTTGATTTCCCTTTTTTTAGTATTGAAAATGCCTTTTAGCTTTCTTTTTAAGCTACAAAACCGTAGGCTAAAAGCTTGAATAAAATCAAAATGAAGCTCCTGGAAATAAGCAAAATGTTAATTCTGAAGGCTTCGTCATTTAATTTCCTACTTCGCTAGGGGAAGTTCCCTAACAAAAGAGAGTATCTGATTGGCAAATATTACATCATTAATATATCAGAGCAATTTAGATTAATGCGTTTGTAGATTTACTTTATTTTTCCGCACAAGCTTCAAGAGCGGTGAAATAGGCTGGAGTAACTCAATGGAGGGACAAACAACCGAGGCCCCCCTTACATATGGCATCGTGTATGTTGCGACAAACTAATCACCTTCCGATATTGGGAACTACTTGGGAGAATGTCAATAAGTGAAAAAGATTATTTTTAAAAGAACGTAACTGATAATAGATGGCTATCAGAACTTAGAAAAAATATGTAATCTCGAAAATTGTTGAGTAATGCGCATAGTGACAGCATTTTACAAAAAAATTCCCCTGGAATGGAGCATATGCATCAAAAAAGATATGAGCATCGTATCCATCACACTGAGTCATGCAATGCATGATCGAAATGACATTTATAGCAGACAAAAGTGGTAACATCCATAAAAATCAAGCTATAGCATTGAAAAGATTTTCTACTCTCTTTATAGAGTGTATTTTGGTATATTTAACAGTAACTTATTTTTAAAATGGGGAAATTGTTGGTGCTAAAATGATAACAGTGGCGAAAGTAGTTTAATTTGACCACCACATGCAAGTTGTTGCTGTTACCATCTGCTAGATCAGCACAAATGCTCATGTAGTACCGTCCATTTCCGTTCGTGAATGGACACTTGTTTGATCGTGAAGAAAGAGCATCAGATTTTGTTTTCTGATGACCCGAAATGTCTTGAGTTGAAGCTTAAGGGAGCAAATAAAAAATTTCGACTAGGAAATGTGAGTGCGTTATGGTTGGACCAACTTCAACAAATGGAAAAAAGGTGGTTCAAATTAAAGTACCGACAATAAGGAACTCTTATTCAAGATTCCCGCAACATTGATCGGCTAGTCACAAAAGTATCCTGAGTTAGCAGTAGGTTAATTGCTCCCCATTGGTAATCGTCTGGAAAATGCCTTTCTAAGCGAAACTACTATAAGTGCTGATTCACCGTTTGGGGCTTCGTATAATAAAACAACTAATCCTCTCCTCCCGGCTCTACTAAATCTCAATTCAGTAAATTTGAAATTGAAACCCGCGATCCCAACTGCCTTTTTTCGTTACGAATTGATTTACAAACAGGAAAAGAAACTGAGGTACATTAATTCATTATGAGAAGCAAGTTTCAGCAAACACGCAAGAGGCTAAACCATGGATTTGGCAGCTCACATTGCATAAGTTGTTCGTGAACTTTTGGACAGTAGTGCAACAAATACGATTTAAAAAGCAAAATAATTACTCCACAACGTCCAATTCATTTTAAAAAATGCCGTACTTTCAAGGATTAAATTTTAGTCAGCCCACTTTAGCGAATTCCTGAATCTCGATTATGGCATGCCAGAAGTAGATTACAAAGAACGAGGCGTAGTTTGGTCGACATTGGTTCAAACATGAGTCCAGAACCAGAATTTAACGTTCATTAACCACGGTAGTGATAAAAAAATGCTTCTCTTGAAAAGCCCTGCACTAGCATCTTCTTAGATCATATCACCTAAATGGGATATGTAAAATTAAACTTAGTATTGCGTTGTTTTGACATTTAAGTGGAGGTGATCTGTGCCAGGTACTCAGTTCCACCCCCTGGTAACGTTCCGGATTAACGCATAAATGCCTCCAGCTATTTTGCATTCGAAAATCTCCCAAAATCATTCGTTCCATTCGTAGTATACGGGAACCATTTTAAAAATGCAAAACACAAAGAGTCATTATGTAGAGGGCCGGAATGGCATATTTTTTTGTACATTTACAGACATTGAAAGTAAATAATGCTACTAAACTTTCGAAGCAGGGGTACCATTTAAGAATCGTTCTCTGAGGGCTCGGCAGAATGTTTGGAAGGTAGGCTGGTGATTCATACCAAAGGCCTGATTCTCCTGACGATACTGCAAACCATAATGTAATATGTTGGAGGTATCTGAGGTGGTAATATCCAGCCGATCTAAACGAAATTGAGGAGTTGGTTGTTGATTAGGTCTTCCACCTGACGGAGAAGAAATGACGGGGGTGGGGACACTCAGGACGTGATATCGCATTCTGCTGAAATCTAAATGTGAGGTAAGTGCTCTGTGTATCTCCAACTCCAGGGGGTAGTCCTTTGGAGATAAGACCTGCACAAGGCGTGACCTGAGGCTCGTTGTCCTTAAACCAATCCAACGCAGAAGAATGTACCCTAGTCGACTGGGCTGATTGTTAGACATGGTACAGTGCAAATATTCCTCTAGAGCAGCCTGTATCTCTACTTGCGCATATTTGATTGGAGTGGGATCCGTCAGCTGATCTAAATCTGAGACAAAGGGGGGCAGATTTCAAGGATAAAATCCCTCAGGTAATGTTTCACAAAAAAAGCTAAAACACTTGCCTACGTTGAAGAAGAGCATTGCCTTCAAACATGCGCATTCAACGAAGTTAAGGTTTAGTGTAGTAAGTTGGTTAATATTTTCATACAGTTTCCTCAAATTTAACTTCACATTTTCCCCATCATTGCGCTGATGGAGCTTCAGGAGATCGATTCCGTAGTTCAGACGCTGAGATAGCGTTAACAGAATAATGTCGCACAGTGCATCGTTTAGCAGTGCCATTTGGTCGACCTTCTGAAAAAAATTGTGGCAAATTTAAGCACATGATTAACCATAGAGTTACCGTGGAATAAATATGTGGGAATTTTAGCATGGGCTTGAAAATTACGACCACCATTCTTACGTGGATGTTATTGAAGAAGGGTAATTGTTTTGCCCACCTCACGTAGTGAGTGGCAATAGCTGCAGTGCTGGTAAAGGGGGAATCAAAGGCCTGCTCGGCGTTCAGTAAAGTGGAAATCAGTTGAAGGGCAGAACGTGTCTGCGCCGAGTCCATCGATGGTGCCCCAATTTCTGAATCGGGAGAAATCTCCCCACCTCGGCGGTCAAAGGTACGGAAGTAAGGATGACTCACTGCAGACAAACGACCCCGTTGAACGGCTTGATGGATAGAGGGTATAATTTTTATTTATTATGGCTCATTGTAAAGCTCATTGATATCTTTGACCACCATGAAAAGTTTTCTTAGGGCATATACACTGCGTACAGATGTCTTGAGGCATCAAAGTGGCATAAATGAGCCTAAAATTCGTTTACGCTTACAAACCTTAAATAAAGGCTACGCTATAAAATGAAATCGTTGAAAGTTTGGATTGAGCATACATTTCAGCAAGGTCTAGAAGTAATATAAGAAACTTCTACTGAGGTATACCTTTTACGATTGAAGAAATCAAGTACAAAGTTTGCCATAACATTTCGTTGCACCCATCGCAAGCACGTCCAATGAAAAGGAACACTTATTTTGATTCTTCCCAATTTCGACTGTTTAAATTTATGTAATTACGATGTAAAAACTAGTAAACGAGATTAAGTAAATGGATTCTGTTTTGTACTTTGTACTTTATTCAATATTCATTTAACGGTAATAAATCCTGAAACAGAAACGGTAAAATTCTATGGCTCATTTACTAAATTGATATTTTCACACTTTGGGCCTGACCCTTCACTTAAAATACAGCAGTGACAACTGACGCAACCACTTTAACTAGGACTGGCATTCTGACAAGCAAGTCAAATTAACTAGGCAGAATTCCTACTATTTGGCTGTTGTTCCTCGAGCGAAGCAGGTTTGGCAGGTCTGATGAAAGAAGGGACTATAGCCACACTAACTAGCTGATCCGAAAGAGCATGTGTCTGAAAACCATTATCGATATTATAGCTGGAGCCAGAGTGCTTGGCATGAGTTTAACGCTCTGAATTGCTCGTAAAAACTGAAGAAAAAATTCAAAACACTTCATCAGAACTTCGTACAAAAAGGAAATCCTTCATTTATAAATAAATGATAATGTCGCCTACCACCGAAATTATAAATACGCGCTTAGTCTAATGGGATTCCAGTGCACCGTCCCTAAAGGTGTTCGATTTATTTTCCTTAGTAAATATCTATCCATCAGATACAGAGGCTCAATTATGCTAGAGATTAGAATGGAACCATGCTATTGTAATTGCAATTCAATGACACCGAAGGTCAATTGCAAATCTGCTGTTTCTGACTTAACACAGATGATAATCTACATTATTTAGCAGAAAAAAAATAGTAAGGAAGATAATTTAGAAGAAAATAAGGATAAAATTCATAAAACGATACCTTCTTTATGCATTCCCTTTCTAAGGCACTTTTGAAAGCGGCAATACTGGCATTGATTTCGATGGTGTAGGTCAATGAGACACTGACGTGCTCCTCGACAGGTGTAAGTCAATTGGCGCCTCACGGAGCGCTTGAAGAAGCTCTTGCAGCCCTCACAAGTAAACTGACCGTAGTGTTTTCCAGAACTCTTGTCTCCACACACCACGCAGTCACAACTCGCCGATTCCCCTTCTCCCTGCTTGCGCCTCACTACCCCCACCACATCAAGCGCGGGCTTAGGCTCGCCGTTCTTTCGAGACTCTGCCCTCTGCGTACGCATGTTCCGCAGTAAAGGGGTAGAGAAGAAGTTGGTCTCAGCTCTTGGATGAGAATGATTCACCCATAGGTTCGGAAAGAGGAGATTTGGAGGCTGGAGAAGGGTGAAGCAAGTAAAATCATTTCTGCCGTTTTGCATTTCGAATGCATCAAAATTACTATCACTCACACGCATACGGTCATGCGCTTAGGTTAGTGTGTACAGAAGATAAAGAAGAAAGTGGTCTATCGCTCAGGTGCTTCCAATCACGCATAGTCACGACCCGGATTGTACGTGTGTGACCTTTCAAGGCTTTGGCAAAAGCCTATGTGGTAATTGGCTCGCGTTCAAATAACTCTAGCCAATTAAATTTCAGTGCGCGTTCGTGTACCTGCGAATGTACGATTAACGTGCTGCTCCTGTCTGATTAACTAATACACTACTAAAACAATGACCACGAAGCTCCGTTGATTGTAACTTAAATCAAAGTTGTATAATCCTGATGTATTTATTTCTTTGTCCATTCAAGTTTATATGTCGATAAAAGTGCTGGCTTTTGGTGAAAATGAGTAAGCGAAATGACATGAAAGATAAAATAAGATATCTCGAAACACCTTTTTTGAGGTTATATCTGGTCTTTGTGAGTACGAGTCCCGTTAAACCAGTTAGTGCTTGGGCAGCAAGTTCTTATGCCTAATAAAGTATTAAGAAATATTGGAAAATCCAAATAAGGCGTAAAACATTAACAGAAATGGCTGGAATTTTAAAACGACACAATAAGAACATTGATATTGGTAATTACACTAAATAGTAACCTTATAACATCTTGCACTTGGCACCAAGCTGCCACCACCATCACGTTTGTCTTCTAATGGGCTAGGATTGTATGAATTTGGTAATTCCCACCGCTTGTTTTGGAAAATTTTTACAATTTTGCAAATAATCATGTTCATTCCATGGAAATTTGTTAATACTACTACTGAAGTGATGGGTAATCTCATCTCTCTTTACAGTTCTTATTATACAAATAATGTTCCTTTTCTATTGCGTTAAATTCTATAAAAAGAGAGTGAAGTACTTGCTAGTAATGGCCCAAATAAAGCTGGGTTCTGCTAGAGTTTATCTTAAAAATTTAACGGAAAAAAATTACATGAATTGTGCATGTTTGGTTTTGGAGAAATGGTTGTCCGCACAATGATGGGTGGGTTGACACTTGCTCCTTTGAGTAGGGTAATCTTAAAAGGAAAAAATCCAAAAAAGAATTATTTACAGATTTAAAAAACTTGTTTTACCACTGATTCGAGATCGGGAACGGTCGAACTTGAGAACGAAAGTAGGCTACCTTCGGTATAAATTTTTTGGCGAAACGTTAACTTAGGGTGGTTATTTTTGGTCAGTAGGTGTAGACGTAATTCGATGAAACGTTAAGAATGATAAATTAATACATCTGATGAGCAAGTGTAAAACTGTGAACTCGTCTGTAGTGAGAGAGCTTTTAACTAAACGAAACATTATAATCTATTGGATTAAATTGCAAATATTTATGCGTTTGACCTTTCAAACACGAAAAGGTGATGGGAACAGAAAATAGCCTATCCTGCTTTAAGAAACCATGAGACGTAACAAACAGGCCTAAAGGAAAAAAAGTTTCTGACTACAAAAATTGGGGACCACATCGCTTTAGAAACTTGTGTAAAGTTTCTCTCCTCATTCCCGATTCAGTTAAGTAAGGGTTATGGTTCATTTTTGGCCAACGAATTAATAAGTGGACATGGATACTGAAAACAACTTTCGGCTGTGTCGATTAATGCAAATAAGCGTTCAACTGTAGCCTCTTTTAGGTTTGTAACGATAGGAAAGAATTTAATTACAAGACTAAACATAAAATTATTTGCATTTACCCATTAATTAGTAGAGTATTCTCGGCAGCTAAAATGTATGTGAAGTGTTGACAGCTGTCAGCGTCACATGTTACGTTGCGGTTTTCTTTCCGGATCCTGGCAATGCAGTAGATGTAAGATGTTCGTTGTTTGAAGACAAAGACGTTTTATAGTTTTGAGTAGCACTTG